GACCAGACTCCTGATGACGATGTGATCACTTGATGATGTAAATAGTAGAGTTGTACAACACACTAACCAATTAGAGCTAAACATTATATACTAACAACATGATAATCAAAAACAATTCATAAAACACATTATTGATTCAAACAATATTAACACTATTACAAAAAGGAGACTGGAGGTAGAAACGTTTTCAAGCAATATGGAACACTCAAGCTAACAAGATGGATTATGACTGAACTCATGATTACTCTATTACTAAAGGAGGAACAGACATTGGCTTTGAATAGAAGTTCCTGTATGGCACCAATAAGGTCCTGACTTTTCTTGATGTGCTGTCGAGACAATATGCCATTGAAGGACTAGGTCAACAAATGACAGAAAGTTAAATATGATATATGATAATAAAGCGAAGTCTAATAACATTTATTTCCAACTGAACCAGTCATTGAGCAAATTGACAATTTTGGAGAACATTAGAATCTTATACTAAATATGGTAAACTGGAGTAAGACTTTTCTGCTGGTGAAAACGAGGCAATTGACAATGAAGCTGTATAAACAAGAGAGACTGAGAGAGACAAGACTGAGATAAGTACTGTAATCAACAACTGTGTTACAATAAGGCAATATGTGACAATCTTGAGGTTTTACTATTGCTATTGTTCAAATCATGGTTTTGCTATGTTCGATCCAGGAGGATCGATTTTTCAAAGTGGGGGGGAATGTTACAAAAATGGATTTTTGTTTATTGTTTAGCCTCTGCTACAAAGTTATGATTACTAATTAGGATCAGTTTCAGATTCTTGCGGTTAATTCCAAATTTGTTATCTCTAATTCCAGCCGCCACTTAACATTCCAATTAAACTCTTGGAATTCACTTTGGTCACTTTGGAATGCCAAGAATCACGAATCTTGCATAACTTTCAATTAATGTAATCACGATTTCTGTCTATGTTACAAATTATCGGTCACGAAGCATTACAAATTGTCTATAAATAGCATATTACAACAGGGTCTATTAATAGTCACCTATATAAGGTGAAGGCAATATAAGCAGGAGTCGAGCTGACAGGTTCAGTTCGAATTTGAGGGGATCTGGAGAACACATAAAATGACCTGAGGACAAAAGCAGCTTTTCTAGATGGGCTATCAACAAGTTGTTGAGATTAGTTCGACTTGGGTGAGAGATTGTAATCTTGTCAGGGAAAAACGGAGCCTCTGTTGTTCAAATATATTGGCAACATGGACAGTCATACTAAGGTTTATTTATTATTTGACAATGTTGGCTATTGTGAGAATTAATTGGTTAATCAGTTTGATTTAAATCTGGTTTTAGACAAGGTAAGAAGTTTGGTCTTTTGATGAAGAAATATTTCTCTGTTGATTTGTAATTCATTATGTTTTAACATTAGGCGAAGAACATTAGCATGTATTTTGGTTGTAAAACTTGTATTTTATTTTAAGGAGGTAACTGTTGTAACTTGGACAATTGAATTGTTGCGTTATGTAAGAATTGCTTTTTAGGGCAACATAATTGTTTGATGATTTTACTGGTTGAAATGTATTTGCTGAAACAGTGTGTAATTAAGATTTGACTGAATTATTTGATAAACATGGGTTTTCATCACAACCTTTGTTCAAACAACAGTTAAAGTTTCAGTTAATTTGTTTAAAAGTGAATTGGTGAGAAATTAATGACAAAAATTATGGGCTAGATTTTGAATACTAATAACAGAGGTTGAGATGGAGGCTAGGGTTTCAAGATATGAATTAATTAGCAGAAGTTAGTACATGTTTTGGATGTTTTAAAATATATTTGACCAAATGATGTTTTTAGGTACTGAATTATTTTACAAATTTTGTACATCTTTAAGTTAGGTAAAATCATTAGAAAATGAATCTTATGTCATTTATTTTAATGGGCTATTTCCATTTTAAGTATTGAGATTTATTTCATTTTTGTTTTAACTGACTAATGGATTACTTGAATCAATTAGAAATAATCTGTCATTTTGGTACAGGATATTACTTCCTTATGATTATGTTATACTTCTCACAGCTCGTGGTTGAATAAAGACTTATTGTGAATCATGGCCATGTTAAAGGGGAGGTTTGGTTGCCCTAATTATGTAGCATTTTACCATTTTCCAAATCAGTGTTTTAAATGTTGAAGTAGACTCAATCTAATTTATGCTTATAATTTGCAGTATGCAATTTATGTTTTGTAAGTTTATTATTACCGATCTGTGTTATTGCTTATCTCGTCATTCTCCAGTGTAAATTAATGTCAATTGATAATTTAAAAGTATTGGAATTAACTTATCTTTATTTCTGAAACCATTTCTAATGTTTCCGCCATTATTTGAATTATATGCTTTCTCCTTCTGAATAACATTGACTCAGAGGTTTTAGACAGAATTGCTCATACAAATGATTTAGAGAATGTTATAATTGTAAACCAAATTAATGATTCACCATGGGTAGTATGTTTTTGTTTACACATGAACACAGCATTTGTTCTACTAATGAGGGCAGATGGAGATGAACATATTTAGAGAATGTTATAATTGTAAACCAAATTAATGATTCACCATGGGTAGTATGTTTTTGTTTACACATGAACACAGCATTTGTTCTACTAATGAGGGCAGATGGAGATGAACATATTTAGAGAATGTTACAATTGTAAACCAAATTAATGATTCACAAGGGGTAGTATGTTTTTGTTTACATATGGACACAGCATTTGTCCTACTAATGAGGGTGGATGGAGATGTATTACAAATTTACCCGATGCTCAAATTGCAACAATCTTTATCTTGAAATATTTTCTCTTTTATATCCTATTCCGCTTTAAAGTCTTATGTTACCAGGTTTGAGTAAAATTAGATATTTGAAATGAAACTAGTCTGTTTATATTTAAATGAATATTATACATTTTTGTAAACGTAAACATGTTTTTGCATGATTTTATTTGACCAGCAGCAAGATTTTTCAAGGGTTAACAATCGGGTTAAGCTAGCCCACAATTATCAATTATACTGAAACAATATAGATTCATTTTTATTTGTTTTGAAGTTCGGAACTTAAGATTATGCAATTTTTGATTTTGCTAGAGAACGATTTGTTTGATTGATGTAAACAAGAATGTTTCTACTGTTATTTGTAAAGACTACTATTTTATTGTAAAAACTTTTATGAATTGGATTTTATTAATGGTTGTATTAAGGAGAGGAGATAAAGCTGATGTAAACAAGAATGTTTCTACTGTTATTTGTAAAGAGTACATTTTAGCTCATATCTTGTAGCATTTCAATGATTCAATGACTGATTCAATGACTGATGTTGTTATTTTAAATGACTACTATTCTATTGTAAAAACTTTTATGAATTGAATTTTATTAATGGTTGTATCAAGGAGAGGAGATAAAGCTGAAGATTGTAATTTAATTTGATTTAGCCAACTTGTAATCATATTGGTATTCAGTTTTTGATTTGTTGATCTTTCACTCCAGTGCATTTCGGAGCTTTAGTTTATGTAACGTTGTCGAAGAGGTCATATAATACTATGATAAAGTAAACATTCAAATTCTCACATGTCATTATCAATTACTGGAGTTAATAATCAAATAATCAATCACTTGAAGCTTGAAAAGTAGAATTGTGAACATTACAAAATCAGGGATTATTTCATGAATTTATGATAATCTGTTTGAATTGAAGTATTTGTAAAGTTAGTGGCCTGTCTAATTTATACTGATATTACATTGATATTTGTTCTCCTTAAATGTGCATCTTAGAATATAGTTATCTGTTTATTAAGCCAAAAAGAACTCCATATATTAAATTACCGCATATTGAATGTTTTGTAATTATCCATAAGTGTAATAGATTGATTGAAGTTTTATGAACTACTGTGTCTGTCCATCATTATAAATAAGAATGAAAGTATGAGAATTATTCATCCCTAACTTGTATACAAATGTTTAACTTAGATGGAGGGACTGTAAATGCAATAACATGGGTTTATTTTGTTGATAGAAAGAATGTAATGTTTTGTAAACTACATTTGAAGTCATGGGACTAAGTTCTAAAAGTTATTATTTTGAGTTTATTACGAGACTTTTTAATATAAATCCTTTCTTGGTGATATACTTTCACCCCACGAACTTTTACGCTACAATCAAAGACGCCGGCACACACAACTATAAGTTTAGAGACACACTACCATAAGTTTTGAAGTTAAGAGACACGCTACCATATTTTTGAGATTGGGAGAGACACTACCACAATATCCGATATTGAGAGATAGAACTTTACTCCTGCTTTGAGCTCTCACGATGTGGAGACAACAAGCGGAAGCTAGTAACTGTTGGCTCTGCTGTTTGGCCGCAAACATGCGAGGCCTGAGTAGCTGACCAACAGAGCACGCATATTCGTTTCAGTATCAAGACCTTTTCGGGCCTCCTTTTTGGGCCCCAACGGAGCCTTTTGCCCTTCCCCAATCTCGGAACAGATGAATTCCCCAAGGAAAACATCACTTCTGAAAGGTGGGGGGGGGGGGGGGTCATGATACAACTTCCTGTGTGGCACAGGATAAATTTTTTAGATTTCAGATAGGTTATTTTGATTCTCATCTCGATATTGTTTTCCAAAACAAGAGATAACTATTGAACAATGTAACTTACCATTTAAAATGCGTCTATTTAACAGATTATATGTAACAACGAACTAAAAAATATTATCTTTTTAAATTTAAATTTCAACATTTCTTACACCAGGTGTCACTGTAATTGATGCGCTTATATTGCGAACGGTATAAAATTTCAAACAAAGCCTCCTTTTTGGGCCCCAACGAGTGAGTTTACCTTACCAATATAAACACCTATCCATGCTCATTTTCTGAAGTTTCACTTGTGATACTTCTGGATGGAAAATAACTTCTAAATTGCATTTTTGTACAGTTCAGATCTCATTTCATTGTTTCACTTTCGATGTTCAACTCTTCAAAATAAGAGGAATGCAACGTGAAGGAAATTTGTAAAAATATCTGAATTGAAAGTGTTTTGAATGTGAATTTACAGAACATTGATTGTTATTATACACTTATGTAGATATAAACTTACGTAAGTATAATGAATTTTGTTTAGAAGCGAAATTTATATTAAAAAACCCGGTTGGTTTTCAATTTTCATTGTATTATCGCCCATTTGAAATATTTAAGCTTTTTATTATTTTTTATTACGTAAAGGCTAGAGTACCGACAATTGTCGGTATTCTAGACACTGATGTGGTGGCACGCTAGAGGACAGACAAATAAATTGTCGGTACGGGAGATATGCTGTGTTTACACGCTAGAGGACCGACAAATAATATTTTTGATTTTCGAATTTTCTGGCGCATGTGCGGGAGGATATTTCAGATATCATACAGATATTTTGGGAACAAGTGCAAAACCCGGGGAGGGCATTAGCCCCGGTTACCAGGGGATTACCAAACCCAGTCAAAAAATGGTAGCCCGGGAACAGGGAATGGTAGTAAACGTTGAAAACGCAATAAAAAACATGAACAAGTAAGACGTGAGAGAGCTATTAATGCAGAATAAACGACTATATATATTCTAAACAGACAGGATATTTCTCCTGAGCCGATCAGGCGTAGAAAGGGGCGTTTGCTACCTATTAGATAGAAGAAAATAGCTAGAATGTTTTGAAGCTTAAAGCACAATTTTTGATGGAAGTTGCATTTGGCTCCCTTAGTTAATGGCCACGATTCCATCTCGCATGAGAGAGCTACCAAATGCAAAGTAAACAGTGATATATTCCAAATGAGATATTTCTCCTGTGCCTTGGCGTAGCAAGGGTAGAGATCGACGGTGGCGAACGCATCCCCTCCCCTAACTGTATATATCGGCGACCCATTAGATAGAACAAGAAAAGAGCTTTAAAATGTTTTTTAATTGAAGCTTGTAGGACAATTTTGATGGAAGTTGAATCAATTTTTGTCGAAATAAATTATGGCTCACTATAAGTTAATGCCTGTACGATTCCATATTGCAAAAGAAGCACTATGCCCCCCCCCCCTCAAAAGAAAATAATAGGTCCTGCCGGGATTCGAACTCGGGACCGGGTGTGTACGAGTCGTGCTCACTAACCAATAGGCTACCAGTGATGAGGTTATCTAGAGGTCAGTACTGTCAACCCCTAAAGATTTTCTCGCAGGACAGATTTTTTAGACCCAGTGCCCAAAATTCGCGGGATTTTGCGGGTCATCGGCTAAATTCGCGGGATTTTACGGGACATTTAAGGGATTTGCGTGATTGCGCTAATAGGAGATTTTTTTTATCAAATTCGCGGGATTTCGCGGGACCATTCGAGGGACAAACACCCTAATTGCGGGACAGTTAACAGGTGTACCACCAAAACTTCATAGAGGGACAGATTTTTTAGACAAAGTGCCCTAAATTTGCGGGATTTCGCGGGACATCCACCTAAATTTGCAGGATGTCCCGGGACATTCAAGGGATTTCCGTGATTGGGACTAATGTAAAAGCGTGTAGAAGTACTTAAATCAAACTTTCAGATACTGATTAATCAAATATAATGCACCGTTACATTGTAACTTAAATAAACGTCAACACAATTTCACAAAATACGCATAGGAATATTATTAAACTTTATTGTAATTTATCAAAAACAAAAACCATGCTTCAGGTGTGATTACCGTAATCTAACACGAAATTCAAAAATTCGGAACAATACTTTGCACTTCTGGCGTCGTGACCAACTATGAAACGCTTACCCCCATAATGTTATATATTAAAATGTACCTATTCATATACTGTAGGCATGGGCTTTCAATTGAAAGCCCATGATATAGGGGTTCGATTAATCTACATCAAATTATAGGGAATGAGGTTAATTTTCTAGATAGGGTTTGTATAAAAAACCGGGTACTGGGTAGTAAATCCTCCATGCTGGGTTCAAACTTAGTACCCGGTCAAAAAAAAACAAAAAAACGAAATATACGAATACACAACATAATTAGATCATTAGAAAACGTGTAAGATTTGTTTTGAATTTACAAAAATGTATGTAACTTCCTTCAAAATTGAGCTAGAAGCTTCAAATAAAAAGCATTTTAAGGCTCTTTTCTTCCTCTATCATCTTGGTCATATTTCCATTGGTAATGAAGGGGGGAAGGGTGCGATCGCACCCCCACCTGGCTACGCCAATGACATTGTAAGACGATTTGAAAAACAAGACAAATCAATCTCACTCTATTTTCAATAGTTCGTATGTTGGTACGTGAATTGTTTTGATTATGATTTAAATCTGTAAATAGCTATCGTTGCTTTAGCAGAGAGGTGACGTGTGTTAATTTGCATGATGCAACGTGTAAGATTTTGATTATTAATCATAATTTAAGTTATCCCAATTTATGACAAAATGTCCACTGAATTGTAAATTGTTATGTCTTACAATGTCATAGGCGTAGCCAGGAGAGGGTGCGATGGTGCGATCGCACCCCCCCCCCCATAACCAATGAAAATATGGCCATAACGATAGAGGAAGAAAAGTGCCTTAAAATATGCTTTTTATTTGAAGCTTCTAGCTCAATTTTGAATCATGTTACATACATTTTTGCAAATTCAAAACAAATCTTACACGTTTTCTCATAATCTATTTATGTTATATATTCGTATTTTTCGTTTTTTGGGTACCCGTTTTTTTGACCGGGTACCGGGTACCAATTTTGAACCAAGCATGGAGGATTTACTACCCGGTACCCGGTTTTTTATACAAACCCTTTCTAGATATCAGCGTACATTTATTGTAACTCGCGATTGGTAACATTTGCTCAGTTCTGAGATAAAGGCCACACGGGTAATTAAAAGGCCAACGTTGGAACTATTTGTGACCTACATCCCTATTTTCGTAATTAAAATGAAAGTTGAACCCTTCCCCTTTATTTTGATACCAAACAACAGCATGCTAGGTACTTAAAATTAGGTAAACTTTACTCCTCAAAAGTGCAAAAACTTAGCTTCTTATATAAGATAAGATAATCAAAATATAGGGGATTGCAACAATTTCGGAAATTCGCGGAGGTCAAAGCCACATTTTGTGGGACTTCGCGGGACAACGCGGGACACGCGAATTAGCCTAATTTTGATCAAATTCGCGGGATAATCCCGCCATTCGCGGGACACTTGACAGCTCTGAGAGGTAAAAGTAGTGGATTTATTTATGAAATTGTTGGCTCTCTAGCAAAACACGTACTGTAGGAGCCACTTGTGTACCGACAATTGTCGGTTCCCTATATGGCACTACTAGGTGACGATAGAGTGCCGACAATTGTCGGTACCCCAGCAAATACCCCTGGACAGTCTCCAGTGCCGACAATTGTCGGTCCTGGAGCCACTCCGTTTTTATTATTGCCTGGTATTTAGATCTTTTTAATATCTATATCTATTATTCTGGAAAGAAGAGGAAATTTCTGTATTTTCCATATCTTTTAAAATATTATTTTCATCTCATATAATAGATGTCTACCAAACAGATCCAGAATAATTAAAACCTATAATGATCATAAAAAACCTTGGATTTCTCTCGGGATCATTATTTCAGCTAAATATAAAAACAAACTTTTTATAAAATATAAAAAGAATCCTACTCTAGAAAACAATGCAATATATACACGATATAAAAATAAGCTTAACCATGTCATTAGAAATGCAGAAAAATCATATTACAGAAATAAATTTGAGACAAATAAAGGCAATATAAAGAAATCTTGGAATGTAATTAACTCTATCTTAAACAGAAATCCAAATCAATTTAATATCAACGATACATTTGATCTTGAAAGTAGACAAATCACAGATGGTCTCGACATAGCTAAGAATTTCAATAATTTTTTCAGTTCAATTGGTCATAAACTTGCAAAAAAGATAAACAATAATCTAGATCCAATGGTAAATTTAAAGAAAACTAATTCAAATAATAACTCAATATTTTTAACACCTATTACTGAAACAGATGTCATGGCCCAATTAAAATCTTTAAAAGACTCTGCTGCATCTATAGATGATATACAACCCAGAGTAGTGAAAACACTGAACGAATCTTTGTCAACTCCTCTTACTCAGATTTTCAATTTATCAATAACTACTGGTACATTTCCTGATGCATTAAAAATAGCTAGAGTAATTCCAATTTATAAGAAAGGCCTTAAAGATAAATTTAACAACTATAGACCAATTTCAATTCTCAGTGTATTTTCTAAAGTACTTGAAAAAATTGTTCACGTTAAAGTGACAACATTTTTAGAAAAATATGAAATTTTATATTTACAACAATATGGTTTCAGGAAGAAGCACTCAACTTATATGGCACTTCTAAATTTCATTGAAAATATTCGTAGGTCATTAGATATCGGGGAAACTAGCATTGGGATATACATTGATTTGACTAAGGCTTTTGATACAGTGGATCACAAAATATTATTACAAAAACTTGAATTTTATGGTATTCGTGGAACAGCTCTTTCCTGGTTCAAAAATTATCTCGAAAATCGAATTATGGTCACAGAAATTGTTAAGAAAGATGTCTTGATTGATCAATTTACAACTACAGATATAAGATATAGATCCGGTAAAAATAAAGTTGAATATGGTGTCCCTCAAGGTTCAGTCATAGGTCCCCTCTTGTTTATTATATTTATAAATGACATACATTTAATATCAAATAAACTAAACTTTGTCTTATATGCTGATGATACTAATATCCTACTTACCAATAGAAATTTTGAAACTCTAGTCTCAGATATGAATGCTGAATTAAAAACTGTTTCTAACTGGATGAAATCTAATAAATTAACTCTTAATGTAGAAAAAACAAAATATATGATATTTAATAAAAAGAAGGACCCTAATAAAAACAATATTGTTCTCAAAATAAATGAACAACCTATATAAGAAGTTAAAGAAATCAATTTTCTAGGTGTCATCATTGATTCAAAGCTAAATTGGTCTTCTCACATAAATGCTATTTGTACAAAGATTTCTAACCTGATAGATCTTCTCTACAAGACTAGACATAGACTGACTTTAAATACAATGACCACTATCTATTACTCCATGATTTATTCCTACTTAAGCTATTGTAACCTTTTGTGGGGAAATGCTATAAAAACTCTTATTCAAAAATTGTATGTTCTGCAAAAGAAATTCTTGAGAGTTATCAGTCCTATTCTGATCGTCTAGCTCCTTCAGGACCTCTCTTTTCAAAACTGAAAATATTGAATATATTTGACATCAATAAACTACAAACCGCTAGCTTTGTTCAGAAAACTGTTTCAGAATCACCAGAATTTCCTTTTCAAAAGTTCAAACATTTATTTGTTCCAAGAACAGCAATTCATAATCATGACACAAGAATTAATAAGAATTTAACTGTAAAAAAATTCAGAACTGAAATTGGAAGAAAATCAATTGAAACAAGTGGCCTATTACTTTACAATTCTCTTTCACTTGATCTCAAAAAGTCTAAACATATCAAATCATTTGAACGAAAGTTAAAGTTTGATTTGCTAAGTCATTATTAGATCTTCTTTGAAAATACTTTCTTCTCATTACTTGTATTTTATTATGATGCATTTTATGCTTTGTCATTTTTTTTGTTTCCATATAACCTGACTGTTAATTTAATAAATGATATATTGTATGTTTAAACATGGAACTTATACACCCCTCGGGGTGTCTTTTCATGTAAATGTAAAATACTGTATTTGAAACATTTGAAATAAAATGAATTGAATTGAAATTGAATTGAATATAATGGGGGAAGGGGTGGGGGGCGTTGTAAGGTACAGCTGGAAAGTAACCTTTTGGTAAAAAATTGCTATACATGTACCTGCACATGTTATTTTCTGGTACACTGTAAAGTATGAAGGCATGTGTTAATTTCCTTGCTTTTTCAGGAAAGTATCATTACATTGTCTTCTTTTAGTATATCTGGTAAGAGGTCAATGGGAACTCCAGGAAATTCTGATATTTCACACTTTCTATTTTTCCAAATTTTCTTTCAAAGTTTCCAGACAACGCAGGAGCTACCATTGACCTGTTTCCAGGTTTACTAAAAGTAGACAATGTAATGATACTTTCCTGAAAAAAGCAAGGAAATACACACAATGCCTTCATACTTAGTTTTGTTACTTTCCAGCTGAGCCTTAAATGCTTATCATACTCAAGGCAAGGAAATATACACATGCCTTCTAGACTTCACATACCATTGAATAGATTGTCACAGAATTCGGCACTCATAAATGTTAAAATTATGATGTTAGTTGGAGACCTACCCTTTATTTGACCAGCCCACTTCTTTCCTGTCTCATTTATACAGTTGAAATTGTAATTCTTGAGTTCTTAATTATCGTAAATCCTTTGTTCTATAAGTATAATGTCCAAGCAATTTCAACTTTGAAATTCTGGTTCCTCTGGTCGTTATGCAAATTTCTTTGCTATGCTCGATGCAACAGAACAACGATATCAAATTATAAGGAAGTGAGCTTGCCACTTTCATTTATTGAAAAAGTAGCCTCTGTAACAGCATGTTGTTATGAACATGGTAAATACAAGTCACATTAAGTACAGAACGCAGGTAACGATACTATGACATGATTCCCTTTATAGCATGAAAGAACACTCTAAATGTGAACGTTAAGACTTAACAAAGAAATATAAACTAACATTTATCGAAATTGATTGATCCCGGCCATTAAAAACCTCAAATTAATGCGGAAAAGGTACGCGATCAATCAAAGACATGTAAATGTTCTAAAACATAATAATTTTATTAAAATAAAGTGCGTCTCGATACGTGGCAAAGCTCAGAATGAAGTTACACTCCGTTCTAACATGCACTCATGCAAAACAACTCAACATCAACTCGTACACCTGTTCCATTTACACAACGCCTAAAGAAATCATTTATGAGCTAATGTCGCTGCGCTCAAACGCACATAAATGTCAAGTATATGAACACCAAGAACGAAATTATTATAATAAGATTTCGCTAAAGCTACTAAACGTGTAGCGAGATATCATATTCTTTTCATATATTCATATAATTTATATATATATTCATATAATTGTCCGTTTATGTTATTAAACTAGTATTGAAATAATGATTTCTATTAGTTAATAAGTTTGACACGTGCGTGCGCATAAAGAGGATTTTAATTTTCAAAATTAGTTCCAAATTTTTTTCACAAATACTCATGAAATACCAAATTACTTCACTAAAAACGTAGCAGATTGATTTCGGAGCATTCAAAGATAGGGTAGGGTAAGTAGTGTAGGTGCATAGTCTATCGCAGTTTGCTGCTGCATCATTATAAATATAGGTACGCGTACTGGCCATGATATCATGGCCATTGGGAAAGGCTAATGCCTTCATACTTAATTTTGTACCAGAAAATAACATGTGCAGGTATAGCAAATTTTTTTACCAAAATGTTACTTTCCAGCTGAAAATTTTGGCCCAACCTTTTATAGGGCCTCATTTGGGCATTAGGGCAAAGGGTTGTAACATCGACGTGTGGGGCAATGTCGACATAATAGATGGGGTAACTTTGACACTTATTTATTAGAAGTAGAATTTTTGTTTTCTGCCATGTTTGACTTCTGGAAAAATTAGAATCTCGCGAGATCTCGATCCATGCAAGGAAAAAACCTGGCTTCCCCCTGGATTGGAATTTAGAGCAAATAAACAATGTGTCAAAGTTACCCTAATATGTTGAAGTTACCCCAAAATGGTGTCAACGTTACACCCCTTTGCCCTACTTGGCCTTTTAGGTCCTTATTTTTTAATTTTAGGCTGAGTTATCAAAACATGGACCTTAAATTTTCAAATTTCAGCCCAATTTTAGATTTTAACGGCCCAGCGGACATTTTTTGGACTTGAAATGTGTTGGTTCCCTCTTGTTAGCTTCAAGATCTGCCAGTGCCCTTTACATTATGAACGGGGTTGGTTTAGCATGGTAGAAATTTAGACGTTTAGACCTCCCTATACTTGGAAGTATTTGGGTAGAGAAAGTTGAGATTTGAATCAAAGGAGTGGTATCGAAATGGAGAATTTTTTGAACACACATTTCTCTTAAACCAGTCATAAAACAAATCTAAAAACTTAACACATCGTCAATTTAATGGTCATCTTTTGAATGGTTACAATATAATTTGAAAAATATATATATACTTTCAACTACATGTATATTGTTTTAGAAAACACACCAAACACTTGTTTTGTTCTTGGTGTTTCCAGAGTGAAATGCAACATCTTTCCAAACCTCATTGGAACAAAACGACATAAACTCAATATTGTAATTGTACAAAGGAAATTTTGGTTGATTGTAAAAAAGTATCGATGTGAATGAAATAAAAGTTTATCTTGATTTTTATTATCTATTTTGGGGGGTTTTATTTTAATTTTTGAGCACTTTTTTAAAATTAACCAAAAATTCCTTTGTATAACTATGATATTGAGAGGTCTAAGAAAATGTTGTATATGCTATTTTGTTCCAACAAGGTTCGGAAAGACATTTTATTTCATTCTAAAGAATAGGTAGAAAGGAGCAAAAACAATATTGCACTAAAAAAACAAAAATGTTAACAAAAACAGTTATATAAAATATTTCTAAATAATTTTTGCATTAAATTGTTCTCAATCAGTCAACATTATATAGAATACCATGTTTTTTACAGAATGTTTTCAATGATTAGTTTAAGAGAAAAAATTGTTGAATTCAGTTCTCCAAATCGATACCACTCCTTTAAATTGAAATTCTAGTTGGCTGTATATAACATGTTCTAATAAAGAGAGATTTTCAAAAATAAGATATTTTAATTGGTCAATGAAAATTAATTTGCTACTTTGGCCATTTTAGTAATTCCAATGTAAATAAATATTTTTAATACCAAATTTGAAATATGTTTGTTGGAACATAATGGTTGTAGTTAAAAGTTTTCAGCCAATTTTCAAAAAATGCTTGAACTAGTCTGTAGGATAGCTCTATCCCTAATTTGACTTTAAAACACAACTTATCTAGAGATTTTCTGTTTTTACAGTGCAACCATGCCAAATACAGCGGCCTATGTTGGATCTGGAGATATTGATGACATAGAAGATATCATCTCTTCAGCTGATATCACTCCCAATGAGAGAATAAACAACAAGAAACAAGTTGTTCCCAAAATATTGAAACATAATAAAGTTAAAAAGAAATGTGTAAATAAAACGGATGCTGATGTGAAGGACTTTAAGACAGATAGCATCATACCAGGTTTGTGTTTGATTAAGGTTTTCAATTATTATGAAGGTGACTGTGATTTGTAGCTTAATACTCTGCATTCATTTGACTTTGCTCCTTGAAAGAGAACTTCATCTATTTTAGTTTTTATTATTAGGGATATTTTATTTGTTTTTATTATCATACAGTATACAGTAAAACTTGTATATCCCAACACCTGGCTAATCTGATTACCCCTCAACCTGAACACTTCTTGGTCTCATTTTCCTCCCATTAACTCCCATTTCATGTTTAAAAACTTGAAATTTGAAAACCTCCCAATTTGACGAGTGAGCAGTCATATCTGAAGAATTAACTTGTTTGTACTCTGAACACTTTACATAAAATATCACAAGTCATATTTCATTCAAAATTGGTCAAATATTTGAAAATTAAACTCTATTTTAGTTTGTAACCAGCCTTTACACTCTGGGTATATGTACCTGTATATGCATATCAAGGGTTTCATTAGCAGCAGGGAACTGGCAATTTTCACTGGTTGTTTTCACAAAATCACCTGTTGCTTTTAGGGACTTTTCAACTTTTCCATGTTAAATTTATAATTTCCATTAATTTTGCCTGTTGTTTTCAATTATTTAGTCTGTTGTGAGAAATCCTAGTGAAACCCCTGCATTTAATTATTGTTTAAAGATATTTGTTTATTTTATGTTGCCAGGTACCCAGAGTGTTTACCTGAAGACATGGGGGTGTTCTCATAATAATTCCGACAGCGAATACATGGCTGGACAGCTTGCAGCTTATGGCTATAAAATAACAGGTATTTTACTTTGTTCATTGCACTGAAATAATTCATTGAGATATACAATTTACAGTTTGCAAAGTTGTTTATTCATCAATTACTAGTATATCAATGTACAGTGTACAGGCAACTGACACCCATGCGGGTGTATAGAGTTGCATATGATTATATTACATAATTGTACATATGACCTTTCATGTGTGTTTTTTTCATCAGAAGATTGGGATTATTACTTGGCTTTATAAGTCCTTCGTATGTAAAATCCCCCAGGATTTGCACTTAATACATCTGTGAGCTAATGGAATAAATATCATGAATTATGTCTTTCATTTCACCTTTGGGCCCGAATGCTGTTTGTCTAAGAAGTAGGCTTCATTGAAAATATCTCATGTTTATTACATACTTAACCCTTTCCCGACGTGAATATAAGAGAAAAATGTTGGCCCTGGTTATAAGTAAGAGCTGTTTTTAGGGGAAGACTGCAAAAAATACGCCCCAGGACCTATACCTTGAATTTCATCACTGAAACACAATTTTTAGTAAGGATTATCACATTAGAACAAATTGTCAAAATTTGGTGTAAAAATACTGAATAGAACAGGAGATATTGTCATTTCATTAATGTATATAAATAAAAATAATGGTGCCAAAAGGAGCCTATCGTCCTGAAAGGTATTACATAACAGGGCTCCGTATGGAGACTATCTTCGTGACAGGGTTAAAAAACACATAAAATTTAATATGAAGACTAAATTTTCTATATTATGTGTTATATTTAGACTCAAAGGAGCAGGCTGACCTTTGGTTGCTAAACAGTTGCACTGTAAAGAATCCAGCAGAAGACCACTTTAGGAATGAGATCAATAGTGCCCGTAGTCTTGAGAAAAGTGTCGTTGTAGCAGGATGTGTTCCTCAGGGAGATAGGAAAGCTAACTATATACAGGTGACTTACATATTAGTAAAGACAATTGGCACAACCCCACCCCCCTCCCCATTTTTCTGAATATTGTTTATACCGTTTTGACTTGGTATATTGATTTTAATGCAGCTTTTCTGTCTCAAAATTTTTTCTTGAAAGTCTTATCCGTGCATTTTGAAGTAAACCATTTCATGAATGATTTTATATCATTGGAGATGCAACTTTTCAAATGCATTTACTTAGAACTAATTTTGTCACAAAACCACTATTTATCGCACCTTTTCAGTGCTATATTGTTGCATCTTGTGTTGCTGGCCATACAGGCAGGCAGCAGGCATCATATACATCTTGACATCAAAAATTCCAAGAAAACCACTTGTTTGATCAACTGGGAAATTTTTACAGGTGCAAGAGGAGACTATTGCCTAAGGTCAGCTTACGTTGTGGGAAGACTGGATTAATTACCTGGTGGCCATTTTTAATTTTTTGAGAAAGATTTAAATAATGCAGTATTTTTCACTAATGTCTTGTTAAACAATGAAACATATAACATAAGCAAAAATATAGGAGACTGAAACCAGTTATAGGAGAGCAAATCCTTATTATCCTTAATAGACTAGCTTCCCCTACTTTTCAAGAACAATGGCCTTTAGGACTGTCAATAGATGGCGAAAAATTCAGTGGGTTTAATAGCATACTTTAACATGTAAAAATTGCTCCAAAAATTTCACAAGATAAATTTAAATAAAACCTTTTGATTTTGAATCTTAAAATTTGTTTGTAAATAATAATGAAGGAAAATATGATATTTATATGATATGTGTAGTGAATTTGAAGTTTTAAAACAGCAATATTTACACACAAACCAATGGGCCAGATGTGAAGAACAACTTAGTAGTTAACTGCCATCTATACGAGTCCTGGCTCCCATTCAAAAATCTCATCATAACCATGGTAAATATCATCAAGTCCATGATATCATTCATACATTTGTTTGCTCTGTAACTGTGTGTATGTAGTGTATTTAAAACAAAACATGTCATAGCATGGTTAAGTAGTGGCTTTTAGATCTTTTAAGCTCCAATTTTTGTGACTTGTGTAATGTTAAGAATGTTCATATGAGAAATGATTATCTTTTAATATGATGTTATTTTTTCCTTCACTTAAATAACAAGACACATCTACTATTAGTCAACCCTTCAGTGAAACACACTTAGACAGAAGTGTTTTGCATAAAATTTTGAGTATAACAAATTAAAACAAAGCATTAACATGAATAATGTCACCACCTGCCATTTGTCACAGACGCTGAATGCCAAACACCAACTTCCAAAACTGTCCGCAAAAATTTTAGGCACTATAACAATATGTCATCACTAGTGGTGGTGACATAACAACACATTGTAAAATTTATTGAAAAGTATGTGTTCGCTCAAGCCTGTCTTAGCTGAACATTGATAGGATTGGGTAAAAGGTTTCATGGTGAATGTTCACATTTTATGTGTTCAATGGGTTCAAGGTTTTGAAAGCATATGAACACATTCTCCAGAAATGTTGATGTTTAAATAATATAAGTCTTAATTTTAACATAAATGTATTAAATTGATTTAATAACACAAGCTCTGCTTTAATAAATACATAAACATGTTTGTCTGGATATGATGATTTTATTTTGCCACAACTATGAATACATGAGATTGCAAACGACTCCTGTAGTTTTTGCTGGAAAACGAATCACATTTGTGATGCTTACAATACCATCGTTGTCTTTCACAAATGAGGTTTGGTATGTCCCATTTCCATATTCAGGGTGTGTGACAAAACCACTTCCTCCGCAGGGCTTCACTGGTTCATAGGTAACAACAGGAAGTACTATTAAACCCTCCATAGAACAGCGTTTCTTTGGATTTGGCTTAATCATGTAGGCGCCAGCAATCACAACTTCTCCAGGATAAAGTGTTCTGTTATAGGTACCTCCTGCATTGAGTTCATTCTTGATTACAATATTAAACCCAATTTCCAGTACTTCCGGTTGTTCTGTGTGATAGGCGCGTGACTTACAATCATGGGATTCCAGTATCATACGATAGGGCCCTGGCCTAAGTGGGTGATTCTCAGTTGAGAATGTGTAATCTCCAAGATCAACCTTTTCTGCATTGTAAAGTTCGTCATCAGTAATATCAGGGCTCAATCCAAACCTACACTTGAAGAATGCAAGTGCATTCCTTCCTGAGAAATATATGAGAAGTACATGTATTTTACAGACTTAAAGAGGCAATGTCTGTTAGCATTTAAGGAGTATTTTTTTTATCTCTTATCTAGCTACTATTTGCCACATTCCAATTCATATTTGTTGATTAATTGATGTTATGTCAATATTTGTATACTTATTATTAATTAATGTAGTGATGATCCTAGGGTTTTTGAAACAATAGTTACCAGTTGATTCAAAAATGGTATCTAAATGTATTTGTAGAAATAAACACCAAAAATTCTTTCAAGTTGCTCTCCTTTAAAAGAAAGTGTTCCCCATTTTCTATTTTTATTTATTTATTATATTTTTGTTTTTTAGATTGTTTCCTACCTGCCCTTATGATTTCAGCCCTAGTGTTCCTACCTGCTCTTATGATTTCAGCCCTAGTGTTCCTACCTGCCCTTATGATTTCAGCCTTAGTGTTCCTACCTACCCTTATGATTTCAGCCCTAGTGTTCCTACCTGCCCTTATGATTTCAGCCCTAGTGTTCCTGCCTGCCATGTTATGATTTCAGCCCTAGTGTTCCTACTTGCCCTTATGATTTCAGCCCTAGTTTTCCTACCTGCACTTATGATTTCAGCCCTAGTGTTCCTGCCTGCCATTCTATGATATGCATGTGCTGTTTCAATGCTAATGGCTTGGGCAACAAGTCCTCTGAATTCTCCAGCAAACACAAGCACCCTGTCATAGTTGTCAGTACCTTCTGTGCCCTCCACAGGACACTTGCTTTTCTTACATGTTCTCCCAAGTACTTCACAAAATGTGAAGCTCATGAGAAAAAGTAAGCTCAGGTACCTAGAACAATAATCATATACTGTATGTAGAGTTTAAGTATTTTAGGTGTAATTATAAACAGACCTTAATTCCTTAAAAGATCTTACCCTAATCTGCCCATTGTTAATATCTCCTCTCTGTGTTTGGACTCAGATATGAATTTATTCTTTATACTTGGTTTATCATTACTTGGGGTTACTTATTGATAGCATAGCAGGCTCTCTGCTTCATTAACTTGTGTAAATTATATTTGAGTCTTAAATTAATATTTCATACCTTAAAGGTCTTTATGGACCTTTTTCTATTATTTATGAGGTCTTTGTTATATGTTATCAGTTATCACACGTTTCAGCATGTGATACAGGAAATATTCCACGAAAGGTAATAATGTCATCCACACACAAAATCATCCATGAAAGCGAAGCTTGAGTGGTGATACATTCTTACCTGAGTGGAATATTTCCTGTATTACATAAGCTGAAACATGTGATGACGATTTTATCACATGTCTTGGAAAGTTGAATTGAAGCATTTTGATTTGGTCATTATGATTGTGTTCAGTACTCTGTTCTCCTGGTAACTTATAATTTTGTGTGTTTTGAAAGTTCGCTTTGAAATAATATGATGTCATACTGTTGTATTCGTACTTGTTAGTGAAATAATATGATGTCATACTGTTTTCTTTAGCTATGAAGTGATATAACCAGTGACGTCATATCGTTACTATTGACTCTGTAGTAATACAGCCCATCATATCACATGAAAATTAGTCACGTGTCATGTGATGTTGTCACAATTGAACAATCAAAATGCTTAGAAACTCCTGTATATTGGTGGACTGTGAAATGCTACATCTCAAGATAACCAAAATGTGCCACCCATGTACTGAAATAGATAATAGAAATATATGTTCGTCTTGATGAAATATCCAAACTTAAACATATTTTGACTCTAGTCCATGATCGTTGAATGGCACCTCTGCACTACTTGTTGCACCTTTAACTTTACATGTTTTATAAAACTGACATCATGTGGCTATAGTACTCTGATACTTGTTATTTCTGCATAATAACAAGCGAGCCTACAACCAAAAAAAGTACAAAAAAAGATATATTCTTTCGGGAATCGAACCCGCGACCTGACGCACCCGAGACGACGATTCTGCCAACAGACCAACAGGTCAATTAAGACGACGGACGCAACGAGACAGTCAAGTCGCACACACTTGGGAATCCGTGAATTATTATCCCATCGAACAAAGTTCGGAGGTATTTAGGGAACGCCTCCGTCTGTCTGTCCGTCCGTCCGGGCAATAACTCAAATACCGTTCGCCCGATTTTGTTCATATTTTGTACACATATACCAAATGAGGGTAGAAGTTCTGCTCTAAAAAACGATTTTCAAAATGGCCGCTCATTTAAAAATGGAGGCCACTTTAGTGCCGATTTTACAGTAATTTAGGTTCTGCATATAAAACTGTAATAGCAATATGTTTTAAATGTACAAAAGTTATATAGAACATTGATTAAGCTAGAAATGTGAATATAGAAGAAATACATGGCAGCCATCTTGAAAAATGGCTGCCTTTGCACATCATTTTACGATTATTGCTGCAACTGGAAAAGTAGTGGAGCAATTTTGTTCATATTTGGTATGTGAATACTTTAAGCATGGCACGATGTCTAATGACATTTGACAATTTTTAAAAAATGTCCGCCATTTTTACATGTGCTATTTTACATTTTTTACTAGAACTCAAAAAGTAGTAGAGCCATTTTGTTCATATTTCATATGTGAATACTATAGGCATGGCACACTGTCTAATGACACTTTGGGTAGTAGGCAACCATTTTAAAAAATGGCTGTCATTTTTACCTTTTTTTACTATAACTCGAAAAGTGACAATACATACACCCCTTCAAAACAAATAAACCCTTCTAATCTGAAAATGTAAACAGTTTGGTCAATGTAGCCAATTTTATTGCGTCCCTTTAAAAGGAAAATGATTATTTTTTCATGTCACTACCACAAGTGGTGACATATTGTTAAAGGTTTCAACTTTTTTGTGGCAGCAGTTGGTGTTTGGTAGTTGGTGTGACATTTTGCACGTAAATGCCTTGTCTGATAATGCAAAAACCAGTGAGACAATGCTACTATACTAGTGCCAGTTTGTTTCTATTATGTTATGTTCAAAGTGACAAAATATCTTTTTGTTGGATTGGATATGCTACTCTGGGACAGAGTAAAAACCGAAGTTACTCCCTGAGTTCCAGAGTAATTTATTTATATCAAGCTCTGCTTGCTTTGTCTGAAAATCACCAGAAAAAGATAACTAAAATAACTTCTGTAATAACTTCTGTAAAACACCTTAAATTGATTTGCAATAGTATTAGTTCTGTATTGTTAACAACAGTATCATATTTTACCTGTGTCAACTTCCTTTACAATAGAAACCATTAATAATATCTCAAAAAGGATACATATTTCAAGTGCATATAACTTTGTAATTATAATACATCTCAAACGAAGACATATTAATCATATAGAAATTGTGCATGTTATTTATGTGATAATAATGAAATGCTATACTTAGGGAAATTGTAACATAAACTACCCAAATGCAAATTTGTCTGAAAAGCACCAGAAAAATATAACTAAAAAAATTTCTGTAATAACTTCTGTAAAACACCTTAAATTGATTTGCAATAGTATTAGTTGCGCATTGTTATCATATTTTACCTGTATCAACTTAAGACAATAGAAACCATTAATAAAATCTCAAAAAGGATACATATTTCAACTGGGTATAACTATGTAATTATAATACATCTCAAACATAGACATGTTAATAATATAGAAATTGTAGATGTTATGTATCTGATAATAATGAATACTTAGGTAAATTGTAACATAAAATTACACAAATGCGACTATGTACATGTAGTTACCAGTTTTACGACCAGGTGGTTAGTTCAGGGTAAATAACAAGACAGGTTGAAGACCCCTTTTTGACATACTGGGTTAATCAAATTGTGGCATTTTGCATTTTCACACTTTTTAAAGTGTTATGTTTGTCACCATCTTGCTAGGTAGGTGGGTGGGTGTCTTTTCAGATTAAAATTCCTGGAAAGTGTTTAACTTGAAGTTTTTGCAGACACAAGCGCAGACTTGTGCCAAGATCTGATAAGGTTTCGGGCATGGTTGTTTTACTTGGTTGCCATTTTGAATTTTTGATGAAAATGTGTGATTCCATTACTTTGTGTCTTGTTACAATTTAAGAAAAATGTTTAACAAATTAGATCTTGATTATATTGAGTTTATTATCTTGAGTGGTTTTAAGTTTCCTCTACAAGTTGTGACAAACTGTTATAGTCTCATACCTTTTTGTGGACTGTGTTCAGCATTTGGTGGTTGGGGTTTGGAATCTGTAACAAATGGCAGGTAGGGACATTTTGCATGTTAATGCCTTGTTGTTAAAGTTCATATTTATGTTTCAGGGATTGAGTACTATAGGAGTACAGCAGATCGACCGTGTTGTTGAAGTAGTGGAAGAAACATTGAAAGGTTAAGAAACACGTCATAATCCTAATACAGTAAATCCTGTGTCATTTGAACATTTAGTACCTCAAGTACTTTTGGTGGTCCACTTCCAGAGGTTTATTGTATCTGATTGTAATCTATATGATTAATGGGGCTTGAACATGGGAGTTGGACTTGTTCCACTTTTGGAGGTTTTTTCTGTACTTGTATCTCAAATAGTTGATATGATGCTTGTCTTGTGACAGTACTCTACATTGGTTTAAGATGAGCATCACAGCAAACAAAAATGTCGATAAACTTTTCATGTGTATGTCATTTGTGATTTTAACACCATAGTTATTTCTTGAGGATGATTCTTTATTTATTCAGGTCACACTGTGCGATTATTTGGCCAGAAAAAACAAGATGGTAAAAAGATAGGTGGCGCTCAGTTAAATTTACCAAAAGTTCGGAAGAACCCATTGATTGAAATAATAGCAATTAACACAGGGTGAGTTCTAAGATTCAAATTCAAATTACCTTGAATGAAAAATATATACATGCACATATGTAACATAAAGATTAATTTATAAACTCATTCTGTAAAAGAATTCTGCCAATTGATTATGAAGCATGTCCTCATTAAAGTAAATTACAGTAAATACATTGAAGTTACTATAGACACGAAGAGAAGGATTAGGACGGGATCATTATTCATTACTGACTTTTGTGAAAACACAAAACATTAATGTTTTGATCAACCAACCCCTGGTGAAAAATTTATATTTGCTTCTTAATCTTCTAGGTGTTTGAATCAGTGTACATATTGTAAAACAAAGCATGCTAGGGGCGAGTTAGGGAGCTACCCACCACAAGACATTGTGGACAGAGCAGTTCAGTCATTTCAAGGTAAAAACAAGATGATTGTACTTATATTATTCTAGTCGTCTGTGTTAATTTGTTATATTTCTTTATTGTGATAAATTCTGATCATATGCATTTTGCAGTTAAGTTTATTGAAGATTTATTATCACAATATTATGTTTATTCCAAAGCTGATCATTTTGAAATACATTGAGTTCAGTTGGGGGAAATTCAAAAATCATTCAGTTTTTCAAGATTCTGGGCATTTTTCATGTGATTTGGTTGCGAAATCTCTCTATTGTATATTTTTTTAACTTAATGTTTATTTGTATAATGCTTGCAGAAGGGGTTGTAGAAATCTGGCTAACCTCAGAGGATCTTGGGGCCTATGGGCATGACATAGGTGTGACACTTCCTCAGTTGCTGTGGAAACTTGTAGATGTTATTCCAGAGGGCGCTATGATGAGGCTCGGAATGACAAATCCTCCATATATATTAGAGCATTTGGAGGCATGTAGAACTATTGAAGTGTAAAATTGTGTTACATTATGAATTTGTTTGCTAGAGTTCCTTTAATCAGATGTAATCTCAAATTTGACACAGGTATTGTGACCAGGATTTCTCTTATGAGGTATTTCCTTGGACAGGTTTCACTGTATGTGAATATCTCATGTTTTGTTGACACTTTCAATGGTTGGTATGATCAATGTAAATTACCAATTATAAAGATTTAAATAATACACAATTATCAAAATGGATTAAATTTCTTTTTTATTTATTTAATTTAGGAGATGGCAAAGATCTTAGACCACCCTAGGGTTTACTCATTTCTCCATGTACCAGTGCAGTCAGGGTCTGATAGTGTTCTCATGGATATGAAGCGGGAATATTGTAGGGCAGACTTCAAACATGTGGCAGATTTTCTCAAGGAAAGGTAAGTTGATTATTAGAGATACCCTGGTTGCTTGTATTCAAAATTATATTTTAACTTTATGATTATCCCATCGAACCAAGTTCGAGGAAGATATAGGAAAGTCGTCCATCCGTTTGTCTGTCCATCCATTTGTCTGTCCGTTTGTTTGGCTGTCCAGGCAATAATTGAAATTCTGGTCGATAGATTTTATTCAAATTTTATAGGCTTATGCCTTATGGGGGTACTCAGCCTCTGCTCTGAAGAAGGATTTTTCAATATGGCTGCTTAATTAAAAATGGCAGCCATTTTTCGGAAAAAATATAATCTTTGATAACTCAAATATAAGTACATGGATTTGATTCAAATTTTATATGCTGTTGCCTGGGTACAAAGGGGCCTTGCTCAAGGAGACATTTTCAAGATGGCCACTATATTTCAAAATGGCTGCCATTTTTTGTTAAAAAACATTGTCTTTCATAACTCAAATACCATTGATTGGATTTGTCAAATTTACATGCTGATGCCTAGGGACTATAGGAGATCTGCTTGATAAGGTTAAGGATTTTCAAGATGTCAGCTAAATTTTAAAATGGCCACCAGTTTTCGTAAAAGAATGAAACTTTTGATAACTCAAATACCAGTTGACGGATATGGTTCAAATTCTATATGCTGATGCCTAGAGACAAAGAAGTTCTGCTCAAGAAGACATTTTCAAAATGGATGATAAAATAATTTGGATGATAAAATAATTTCGACTTCAAATATTGTTTTCCACTTTATCTAAAAGGAATCACTGATTTCTTTAAAAGGGTTAACTGTGTGTCAAAACACAACATATTGATGCAAGAAAAATTAAAAAAGCAGGGGTGGAAGGGGTTGAAAATCAGGAAAACATTTCAGAAAAAACATGTGGGTTGGTTGTTTGCATCTTCCCTGTCTCAAAGTTGAAATTATTTTATCATCTCTAGGAGTGCTTTTCCTGGAGGTAATGCATTGGTCTAACATATGCACCTGTTTAAATCCTCAGAAAATAGCCAAAATCCAACATATGACTTCTGAAATCTGATACTTCCTTCCTCCTTTCAAAATGGCTGCCATTTTTCATAAAAAAGGTAATCTTTGATAACTCAAATACCAGTGAACGGATTAACTTCAAATTTTATATACTGATGCCCAGAGATTCAGGAGCTCTGCTTGAGAAGAAATTTTCAAGGTGGCTGCTATTTATCGAAATCTCCGCCAGTTTTCATTAAATGTGTAATCCTTGATAACTCAGGTACCAGTTGACGGATTTGGATTAAATTTTATATGTTGATGCCTTGGGACACGGGAGCTCTGCTAAAGAAAAAAATTTAAAGATGACAGCTGAATTTCAAAATGGCAACCATGTTTCATACAAACATAATCTTTGATAACTCAAATACCAGTGGGAGGATTTGACTCAAATTTTATATGACCACTATTTATCAAAACATGTTTTGTTCGGTAGGATTTGCTACTCCGTGGAGTTGCTGTTTTTCTAGTTACATGTTGAGATGATGGCTATCAATTTTGTTTAAACAGAAAGAATAATATCCTCAAGCTTTCTCTAGAACCACTCAATTTGGGCACTACTTTTCTCTTTACTGAACAAAGGGTGAAATTGTATATAGCACATTTAACAACATTGATTGTTTCCTTTTGCCATTACAATTATATTTACTTTATTTTATATATGATATATACAATTTTTATCACAGTTTTAAATCTTCTGTCACTAAGCAGCTTAACAATTTGGCTCAGTTGTATTTTAGCAATAGGTCTATGGTACATTCTTAAAATTTGTTTTTGTTCTATACAAATGATTTTTGAATATGGCCAACTTTTCTACGAACGGGAGCATCGACCTTGGGGAAGATGCCTCCTTATTGGAGAAGTGTTACATGATTTCAGTGTACATTTTAAAATGAGTTGTAGATCTATTTTTTAAATGTTAAGGTTCAAATTGTATTCTATTCAAATTATATCACTGTTAAACTATATATCTGCTTTAAATGGGCTTATTAGCCGTTTGCGGATTATTGATGTAGATGTAGATAACTAATTTATTTCTTCTACATTGTCTAGAGTGCCTGATGTTACCATAGCAACTGATGTGATATGTGGCTTTCCTACAGAAACAGAAGAGGTTTGTTACATATCTTCATTTTTCAGTTATCTTGTGTAACATTCTTCAATAACTCAGATGCGAGTAGGTAGTCACCAGTTTCACCACCAAGTGGTTCGTTCGGGTCAGATAGCATGACAGGTATAGTAGAAAGTTCCTTTTAACTTAAACATTTATCTGTTTAAGTAGTTCAATTTTCATATCACACTTATGTATCTAATAGTTATGCAATTTAAAATATGTCTAAGTAAAAGAAAAATGTTACCAATCCATTACAAGAAAAGATATTTCACATTTTGTGATTTTATAGCTGCATTTTATAGTCTGGGGAATCTTCCCGAACTAGAAGTCACATTTTCAAAAAAAATAATTCCAAAGTTGATAAACAATTTTCAAAACCATACTTCCAAAAGTACTTTTGCATGTAGATTTCAAACATAACTTTACTTTGACTGAATTTTGAATATTAGACGATATTTAATGACATAAATTAAGATTTTTTCTACTCACATCTAGTCTATTGACTTATGTTGCGTTCTTCAATTTACTTACACATATGTTACCATCTTCATTTTTCCGTTCATAGTTTAACTAATTTTTGCTCCATCCAATTGTCTGCCATTGTTTGTACATACAATGCATGCTTACTTTGTAACAGTTATCATTTGTCATTCTTGTTAACATTAACATTTTCATACTCATTAAACAATATAAGATGCAAAAAAGATTAATGCAAACATATATTATGCTTTAATTTTTAGGATTTTGAGGAGTCTATGAGTCTAGTTCGCGAGTACAAGTTCCCTAGTCTGTTCATTAACCAGTTCTTTCCCCGTCCTGGCACCCCTGCAGCTAAAATGCAACAACTGGACAAGAAACATGTGAAGACAAGAACCAAGAAGATATCTGAGCTTTTCCAGTCTTACAAACCCTATGACCACAAGGTACTAGTACAATGAGGGGTGTGGGATTGTGGGCTTTCAAGAGACCCCTCGATGGCATTGAAAATTTTGAAATACAAGTATTTTTGAAATTTTGCAATAATGGTCTGTACAGGCTATGATTTATGACAGTATTTTAATTTGCCATAGAATAAAAGGATCAAAAAGTAATGTTGAGTAATGAATTTATTATTTACCATAACTTGATAGCACCATTGGTGACCTTGACCCTTAATGCTGCTATTTTTGTTCACTGTTGACTAACCAATGAAAAGAAAAATATAAATTTACCTCCTAATTTGCATAATTGTGTTGCAGGTAGGGCTTGTACAGAAGGTGTTAGTAACAGAAGTATCACATGACAAGGAGTACTATGTGGCACATAACAAATCATATGATCAAGTGAGTGGATCTTGTGGAATTAGCTCTCTACATAATATATACAGGGTGTCCATATAGTGTCGTTACAATTGCAATACAAAGTCTGTGTAAAATGTAAAGATACTTTATGGACACCCTGTGCAAGTACATGTACATGTATGACTTTCCAATTTTTTCATCTTGATTTCATTTCAATTATGTCACCACAAAAAAATGGTAACATGTTTATTTTTTCTTAGTCATACAGCTGCATGGAAGATTGGTTCTATTCAATTTAAAAAAAATAAATTAATATCATAATTGTCATAGATTGGGTGATTCAAGAATGTTAATGTCTCCCATTATATGCAAAATCTCATGTGTACAATTCATGACTCTAACTCCAGGTGCTGGTCCCAAAAGATGAAGAACTCCTAGGGAAGATGTTCGAAGTGGAGATCACATCAGCGGGGAAACATTACCTCTTTGGGAAGTTGGTCTCTAGCAAAGACACTGCCATGCGTCCTGAGACTGTACCTCCTCCATTAAAGAAAGGAGAGATCTCGGGTATTGCCCAGAGAGAGGAATCAATGGACAGATTTTCAGCGAGGACATTTTTTAATATCGCAGCCGTTGTGCTTCTAGTAGCAATACTTCTGAGACTGAAACAGACTTTTAGTTCACTCATATATTAAACAATTTTGAAAATTGGGTTTCATTGGAAAGTTATAATAAATCATGATAAATAAATCTATAAATAAATTTAATGAGCAATTACAAAAATGATTTGTTTTAGATCTAAGAGAATTGCAGAATTAATTAATGGTTCAGAAATGTAACAAATTGAGGAACTGCATTGTAAGCCGTGAAGTCCTCAAACTGTGCGAGTGGAATACATCAACGTTTACGTTTCCTACAAGTCTAGTCTAGTTCAGTCCATTACAAATTATACTCTAATTAAGTGCTACTCCTTAGGTTATAAAAATGATAGTTTAGTATCATTCAATGTTGCATTTTGTGTTTCGGGGTAGAGACAGCCTAACTAGTGACTACATGCCCATAAGGCACATGACAGAATTCAAAGTTGTTGTGTCTTTGAAATAAGATTCTCTCTGAAAATATCAAGGTTTGAAAGATATCACTTAAGTAAGCAGCATGGGATGTGCAGATTTCAAGGATGGCATGCATGTCTTATAGATTCTAATAGTTCATTAGCTACAGTATGTGGTGAATGATATGTAAGCAATTTCTTCAATCTAATATTGAAGAAGGTTTGCAACATTGTCTTTTGATGGTTCAAGTTATGTTTTCATTGTTTTGTTGAATTAAGGCATGATAATTGCTTTATTAATGCAATTATGAGGTGGCAGTTAGTTCAAGTTGCAGCTGATGTAAAGAAAAAATGTCCTAATAGAAAGCTAGTCAACATGTATGTTAGGTTGATAAAAAGATGGCAGAACTGAAGATATAAAATACCACCAATGCCATCTTTATGTGAGACCAGGGAATGTTCAGTTCAATCAGTTGTATAAAAGATTAAAAAATCATTTTTCTTTTTTATTGTGCTATATCCTTGGCTTTACTTTCAGCTTTATTCTTGTCTCATAATATATAATGTATATAAAATATAATGCCTTATTAATGTGTAAATGTTAGAAATAATTTATCTAAAGCATACAGTACATGACACAAGTAGGTACATTTGATTTGACATGATCGAATACACACACTATAATATATATTAGACAGCAATTTTAATGATACATGTAACATTGCAAAGTTGTCAGATTCAAACTACATTAATAGTTTTTTCGATTTTAATGGTAACATCATCATCTGAAAAATATAGAGGAAGGACCACTTTTGTTTCTTAATTGAACTTTGGAGGTCAAATATATCAATGTTCAATTTCTCAAAAGAGTAGAATATACAGATATACAAATAGAAACATGTACAGGGTGTTAAAAAAAAACACAACCCAAAGAAATCGCTATATCTTGGAAAATACTAGTCCAATTGTGTTCATTTTTTCAGGAAAGAAAGAAGAGACTATGTGTGTATAGCTCCTGCTGTTAGTTAGTTGTAAAACATGATGCCTTGGACACCTTCTCAAAAGACATTAGTATTGGCAAAGATACGAAAAACGCAACCAGAGGTGACTGCCAGAGCAATAAACCCTAATAACTTTCTAACCATGGTGTTTTGGCACTTCAGATTCACCACAAATTATCTTCATATAATGTGTAGTGAATTGGGGGAGTTTCATTAAAATCACTCCAGGGACTTTACAGTCATGGTCAAAATGCCTTCTTAAGTCTGGCTGAACCAGGGTGTTTGACTGGGTTTTGAAAGCATTTCGACCAAAACTGTAAAGTCCCGGGAGTGATTTTGATTTCAATCTACAGATTAATCATACATTGAATGAAGATGATTTGTGCCAAATTTGAATAGCCAAAACACTAAGGTTAGAAAGTTATTTGGTTTTATTGCTGTGGCAGTTGTCTCTGACTGCGTTTTTCGTATCTTTCCAATACTAATGTCTTTTGAGCATTTGTCCAAGGCATCATGTTTTACAACTAACTTACAACATGAGCTATACATACACAGTCTCTTCTTTCCTTCCTGAAAAAATGAACACAATTGGACTAGTATTTTCCAAGATATAGCGATTTCTTTGGGTTGCGTTTTTTTTAACACCCTGTACAATGTAGATGCAAATAGAATCATTTTGATTTTCATCATTCCAGTGATGAAAATTTCAGTATAAAAATATTCAGGCCATGTTGAGAAAACTGATCCACTTTTTATGAAAAGACCAAGGATAGACAGTAAATGAAAGTAAATGCTTGTTTTGTTGTCAGAGGGGGAGAAATCCCAGGGTTCAAAGATGACATACGCTTATAATGTAAATCTGTATTGAGATGACATCGTTGCTGATTGGTTTAGCGAGTCGATCGTTGATTGGTTTAAAACTAGGTCAATTTGAAAACTTTGAAAACCAAGATGGAGGGTAAGAACTTCCGGGAAAGGAGGTGCGCGAAGGAGGAAATCGTATGTCATCAATTGAATCATGGGGTTTTCCCTCCTCTTTTTTGTTGTTAAGGTAACATGTTAATGACATCACAGATTAACATAGAACTAACAGTGATGTGTGATTAAGCTTTTGCTTGAACTGGAAGTCTCAGGAATGTTTCTAACCTGTACCATACATGCCATACAGGGGCGGATCCATGAACCAACAAGGGGGGGCCAAATTTCAGGTCAGAGTAAACAAGAAAATGCAGCAAACTCCTCGAGTCGAGGTCTCCAAGTCAAAAAAATGCCTGACTCTCTCATATATCTGTTGATTATCCTGTTTATAACTGATTCAAGAGCGTTGCACTGAACGAACCTATATGCCTATTTGTTATTTGTTTAGTTGTTGGTTGGGTAACATGTTTATGACGTCACAAATGATGCGAAGAATCTTTAAACCAATCAGTGAAGTCTATATTAATTGTTTGTTTAGTTGTTGATGCGGCAATACATGTCTGACGTCACAGGTGATTGCATCATATTCCAGTCACGCCATTTTACGACATTGCATAATTTTAGCTGATTTTGGCTTCATTTCACTTTATTTAAGACTTTTAAAAATATAATAATGAGTCAGTATTTTTTCTTATAAATATTAATATTTGAATTTGAGGTCAGAGTCCGAAAATTTGATCAACTAATTGAAATCACATTTTAAAGAGGTGAAGAAGTGAATAATTACAGGAGCAAACGTGATCAATGGTTCGAGGTCTCCCGCAAAGTAGTCGCTACGCTCCTACTTTGCGCTGCCTTCGGCAGAGGAGACCTCGAAAAAAATGTGGGCCCCTTAAACTGAAAAGTGGGCCCAAATTTTGAAATTTTGAGGCCCATTTTCTTCAAAATGTGGCCTGAAACAAAAAAATAAGGCCTTAGAAGGCCCAGTAATGACCAAAAGCCACACTTTTTGGGACAAAATATTTTTTGAGCCCAATTTTTTTTTCTGGGCCCAACTTAGCCCCATGCCCCCGGATCCGCCACTGCCATAGTACGAAGGGCTCAGCCGACTTTGTGAGAGAAAAGTCTTATTGACACGGGCCCGGGAATTTAAATATGTCATAATGTACTGAACGAAACCACACTGAGAACGTCCTTGAGATCAACCAATCAACGCATATTTGTTACTTTCACGTGAATGGGTCATGGTGGAAAATACACAATCAGATCCAGATCATTTATGTAGAGAGAAGACGTGAAATATATTCTGCACAATAAATGAAGAAAACAACGCTGTTCCATCGATGGCAAGTGATAAAAGTATAGTTCATTTGATCGCCGGAGGGTGAGTTCAACTTTACATCGTTTTTTACAATGAACAAATCATTTGGAACCACAAGAAATTGAGTCAAGTGAAGTTGACCTAATTCTAGCTTACATAACTTGTCATAAGCCAACCGGCCTTGATTTTCAGCCGGTGTATTTTTTTTTATATTAGACTACCGTCAATTTATCAGTTTAATTTGACACACATTGTAATAATCGAAATCATTTATTCCATGATCAACTGTGGAACTGTATATCTTTTCAGTTGTATCACTCAAATAGCCCAAAATGAGAAGAAAAGTGGGACAAATTTATTTTCAAATATTGTGAGGCTTGGACCACGGGGAGTTAGTCACCCCCCCCCCTCGCCCCCCCATGTCAATGTCAGGCATTGTGGCCTAGATCAAGATAAATAATGGTATAATATAAATATCTGTCAGTCGGTATGTCCAGTAATGATCAACTGGTACATTTGGAACATGTGATTTAGACCAGAGACATCTCTGTTTAGACCTTGTCAATCTGCAATAGATACAGTAACTTTTGCAATTCTACACTATGATTGCCTCATACTCTCACTTTACTCACTTCGAGAGCCATGTTAGATTTTGAAACTCATGGCTCTCAAAGGGGAAGTGAACAGCTGATCAATAGTGACCTTTGAAATCGAATTAAGTCGATCCGCGGCTTACTTTTGGTCTCTAACTGTGTCTTACATCAGTATCATCAATTCGTGTAAGTATTGGAGCGCTGAAGTACTTCCTTTTCGATCAAGACTTGTAATTGTTAGTCGAGTGAATGTTTTTACTGCCAAATTCCAATATGGCGTTTTCTGCTCGGACATTTTCGTAAATCTCCAGAGGTTGTCCGAACCTAACTAATTCTCAAAATTCATTTCATTCGTTGCGTATCTCGCTCCTAGCAAACCGCCATATTGGAAATAGGTCTAAAAAACATTCACTCGATGAACAATTTACAAGTCTTGATCGTTCACAATCATTCAGCTGTCCAAATGCTCCGTGGGAAAGCTATTATATCAAAATCCAAATAGCTTTCGCAGGAAGTAAACTCTCACTCAGTTTTTCAGATCTTTTGTTGTTTCTCGACAATCTTGCTCCATTATAAATGCTTATATATATATACATGTATCTGAGTCCTGAGACCAACTTATGGGTAGGAGAAAATCAACTGAACAACCAACTGTCAGAATTGAACACAATTTGATGTAACCGCCATAAGAGGGAATTTCTTGTCACTTGACATGAGCGTTGTTTCGTTATTTGAACAAAGGCAGCCAATTAGATTCATAGCATTTTTTTTTCAAATTTTTTTCAAATTTCTGACTGTACAGTTAATAATTCATTTCTGCATACAGTCTTGGAATGACACCACAATGTAGGAGCAATTAATCAATACATCGTGATATATCGCCAAAGGTGATTCTGGCGATGCATTGATGTCCGAAACAAAACATCGATGTTTCAAAAAAAAAATCTTACATTTCTCATTTCTTTGTTTATTTTCCAATGTTCTTTGATATTTTTCACTTTGAAATGTTAATAGTTTGCCTAAATTAACCAATGACCTCCAATTTTTACTTATTTTCACTACATCGTTACTGGAAGTACCGAAGTATTATTGCTTATTTTCCAGCATTTTAATTTTAATGCATTTACGTTCGGTATTTTAGTTTACTTTTTCTCCAACCTTTTCCCGATGTGCATCAATGTTTACTCCTGGAAATTGCTGTTGTATTGATGTACGACTATGGCACATCACGCCAGTAGATGGATGAACAACATGTACATCTATGCATAAATATCAAAAGGAGGGAGAGGGACTCTAATTATTATGCTTTTATGATCCTATCAGGACAGACACTGCCCCTACTGCCTCTAAAGATTCATATACATAATATTGTATATACTCACTCACTGTATGTTCATATTAAAACAATATAAAGTCAGAATATAAAATGATTATTGAAAAGTGATTTATATGCTTATATACTAATACAAGAAGCAAATTTTGAATTATGGTTTTCTCTACTTGATATGCTATGTGTGGACTTTGTGGTACATAATAACAGTTTTCCATACAATTTTTATTATGTCACCACCAAAAGTGGTGACATATTGTTATGGTCTCCGTTTTTTTGTGACGGCGTCCGGCGGTTGGAGGTTGGCGTCCGGCGTCCGGCGGTTGGCGTCCGGCGTCTGTAACAATTTCTTACAACTTCCTATAACTTAACAAATACTGTTTAGACTGACTTCAATTTTTTTCTAAATCATCTACTTGTTCTCAGAAGTTCAAATCTGACTTTAGATTTGACATTTGACCTTCAATGACCTTCTCAAGGTCAAAAAGGTCTTTTTTCAACTTGCTTCACATTGACTAAATTTTTTTTCAAAATCATCTACATGTTCTCAGAAATTCAAATCTGACTTTAGATTTGACATTTGACCTTCAAATCTGACCTTAAATTTGACATTTGACCTTCAATGACCTTCTCAAGGTCAAAAAAGGTCAAAAAGGTCTGTTTTCAACTTGCTTCAAATTGACTAAATTTTTTTTTCAAAATCATCTACGTGTTCTCAGAAATTCAAATCGGACTTAAGATTTGACTTAAGATTTGACATTTGACCTTCAATGACCTTCTCAAGGTCAAAAAAGGTCTGTTTTCAACTTGCTTCAAATTGACTAAAAAAAAATTTCAAAATCATCTACGTGTTCTCAGAAATTCAAATCTGACTTTAGATTTGACTTAAGATTTGACATTTGACCTTCAATGACCTTCTCAAAGTCAAAAAAGGTCTTTTTTCAACTTGCTTCAAATTGACTAAATTTTTTTTTCAAAATCATCTCCATGTTCTCAGAAATTCAAATCTGACTTAAGATTTGACATTTGACCTTCAATGACCTTCTCAATGTCAAAAAAGGTCAAAAAGGTATTTTTTCATCTTGCTTCAAATTGACTAAATTTTTTTTTCAAAATCATCTACATGTTCTCAGAAATTCAAATCTGACTTTAGATTTGACATTTGACCTTCAGATCTGACTTTAGATTTGACATTTGACCTTTAATGACCTTCTCAAGGTCAAAAAAGGTCAAAAAAGGTCTGTTTTCAACTTGCTTCAAATTGACCAAATTTTTTTTTCAAAATCATCTACATCTTTTCAGAAGTTCAAATTTGACTTTACAAGTTCTCAGAAGTTCAAATCTGACTTTAGATTTGACCTTTGACCTTCAATGACCTTCTCAAGGTCAAAAAGGTCTTTTTTCAACTTGCTTCAAATTGACTAATTTTTTTTCAAAATCATCTACATGTGTTCAGAAGTTCAAATCTGACTTAAGATTTGACATTTGACCTTCAATGACCTTTTCAAGGTCAAAAAGGTCTTTTTTCATCTTGCTTCAAATTTACCTAATTTTTTTTTCAAAATCATCTACATGTTCTCAGAAGTTCAAATCTGACTTTACATTTGACATTTGACCTTCAATGACCTTCTCAATGTCAAAAAAAGTCAAAGAGGTATTTTTTCAACTTGCTTCAGATTGAACAATTTCTTTTTTCAAAATCATCTACAAGATCCCAGAAGCTCAAATCTTCAAAAACCTTCTTAAGGTCAAAAGGTATTTTCCAACTTGCTTTAAATTGACCAAATTGTTTTAGGTGGTGACATTTTGTCATGTTAATGCCTTGTTTTAATCTACTTTCAGAATTGGTGGTACTGCTGGAGCTGTTTTAACATGTCCTCTTGAAGTTGTTAAAACCCGTCTTCAGTCATCTGGTTCAACATTAAGGTTCATTCCACAATGTTCCCCCTACATGCAGACATGTGTGCGGACATTTGGCACATCAGCCATCCCTCTTAATGGTAATGAACGAGGAAGTATCAGTCTACTAAGATGTATGAAGTAAGTTTAAGATTTGAGATTAAAAATCAGGCCATATCATTGTTGTCACATTTTTCTATTAGTCACATCAGCACATTTTGCATAAAAATAGTTTATTTAAAAAAGAGGGAGGGGTTCAGGTACCTCTTGCAAATTGGCAATATTGATGCCTGCTAAATAAATGGTGTGCTAACTGATCATGTCATCAAATGAGAATAATCTCTCGCTTGCAGGGGTTCCATTAGCAGCAATCAACATGCAAATTTCACTGGTTGTTTCACAAAATCTGGACTTTTCAACTTTTCCATGTTAAATGTATGATTTCCATTAAATTTGCCTGTTGTTTTCATTTATTTAGCCTGATGTGAGAAACTCTCATGAATCCTTTGAGCTTTTAAAACCTGTTTCGATAAATATTTAATTTTTTCAGTATGAAATTCTGAGTTCCGTCTCTTGTTTATTATTTGGTTTAATGATTCACCTCAATATCCGACATGGTATCAGCTGACGGCACAAATAGTAGAAATTTCCATTCACTTCCTATGAGCGTGTTATCATAAACATCTACTAACTAGACATGTTAAGAGATAGTAGAAACATCCTGGAAAAACTCATCATGTATTGTGCTAGTGCCTGGGCTATTTTTCCCCTCCTGTTCACCTTGTCTGCATAAGCTAGATCTAAGAGAACTAAGGCACAGGGTTGATTTATATCAGCAGATGTGAGGCATATTATGTCTGGTCTAGATCTAGACTGGGTAAAAAAACAAACCCATTTTTGCATTTACTATGAAATGATTGTATCTATCTTGATAATGATGATGAACTATACTATAGATATTGTTCTTAGAATTTTAAAAGGCCAAATTATTGAAAATGATAATATTAAACATTAAAACAGTTGTAAAATTCCTAAAAACAGGCAACTTTTGCCTGTTGCGAACTCCTAATTATGAACAGCACCTGTACATTATTTCATTCATGTAATTTCAGGATAATTCTTCATAAGGAGGGATACAGGGGTCTTTTCAAAGGTTTGGGACCAAATCTAGTCGGTGTTGCTCCATCAAGGTATGATCCATCTTCTCAGTTTCATTTAGTCACATGATGTTTACAAACATTACCTTCTATGTATTGATTCTTAGATGAAGGTTATTCAATTAACGATCCTGACAATCAATACTTTCTGGCTGCCTGCCAATGCAGACATTTTCTGTCTGGATAAAATTGTAATATTTTCTGTAATGTATCTCATGTGTAATATTCTATTTTATTCTATGATGATGAAATTTCTTGGGATCTGATTGGCCGGTTTGTTGTTAAATATCAGATCCTTGTTCAAATAAAGCCCTCTGTTGTTGTTCACTTGTTCTTCTAATTGGCCCACATGGTATGACAATTAACTTAATTTATGTTTTTACTTTCAGGGCGATATATTTCGTGACATATGCTCAATCAAAACTTTACCTCAACAAGGTGCTTACCCCAGACACTCCATTGGTTCACATGACAGCAGCCGGTGCTGCCGGTAAGTTCGCTTTTATCATCTGCAAGAATATGCAATTTTTATTGCATTTTAAGTGTAGGACATGTCATTCTTCACTTGATTTACAATTTTTATCATCACTCAGTTTGAAGTTCAAGTTAAGAATTTGGGTTCATGGGCATTTTTTGATGTTGTTTGACATTTTTAACTCAACTGAAGTATAACCTGACTAGATATCTCAAAATAAATTGTTACTTGGTCTGTAAGATATTTCTTAGCCCACATGTTGCATTTAAACATTAGTCATGGAGAATTTTTATTGGAAATTTATGGAAGTAATTGAAAATGCATTGCTGGATAAGTTTTACTGCGTTTTTGAGCATCCAGTTTTTGGAAGGATGTTGTTGAATACCTCTGCAAGGTCTATTTGAAGACCAGTTTAGATAGTTGCTGAGAAATAGAATAGAAATAGAAATAGACTTACTGTCTTATTAGAACCCTAAAAACAATATTTTCTTGATACTTGAAAGCCTGATGTCCAAGGGTTCAAATTAGATGCTAATATTAAATGCTGTCAAACAATTCCAAAATAATATTTGAAGCCTTACTTAGGTTTATAAAAGTCATCTTGTTCCCTACCAGATGAGGTCAGATAATCACGGGTAAATTTTTGACACAAATTGGATTTAAATCAGGTGACTTTTATGATGTTAAGATCCCCTCCAAAGGAGTTTATTAGGGCACAAGGTAATATAAAATCATGATGAAAGCTTCAGGCTGTTTTAGTTCAGTGATTCATCATGAATCTGTGGCAGATTGTCTCCACTACCCTGGATATTCCTTGCAATCAATGTAATGTAATTCACTGTGTACTTTAACTGACTTATAAAGTTGTTATGACTCACTACTCGGCATATGTTAAATCAATCAATAACTGATCTCATTTCATTTCCCAATTCATAACATAACATCTAATTTTAGATATCTTATATTGATATATCGAAATACTTCTAGTTCTGTACCTCAATCTTTTTCTTTAACTTAGTGAACTTGTTATTTATTGGAGGAATTCATAAATGTTATTTTAGAATGATCCTATGTAAACACTGCTCTAGACATTTAGGTTAGGTTAAATACAAAGCTTGGTTTATGTGCACTTAAAAAGTTTTTTTAATTCACTGGAGTTTGAACCATCATATACTCATTAATATGTTGTTGTTTTTGTTGACTCCTGGTATTTAACTCTGAAAACTTTCCACTCATTAATAAGTCAAGTTGACCTTACAGCCTTGAAGTTGTTTGATTATTCATATTGTGCTGTCATTTAATCTCAATAAATGATGTTGTTGATAAGGGCTATCATTGATACAGTTTTTCTTTTATGACCTTTACACTCGCTTTGGCCCTTGGTCTTTATTTTTTTAGTATATTGGCATTGCAACATGTCTTTGTTTACATGTATTTCAATAAATTTGATATTCGATTAAAATGTGCTTTTAAATGTTGGATCTATTTATGAAATGTGAAAAGTGTCCATCACATATAAATACAAAAACATAAACGAATAAGTACAAAAATAAATTTTGATTTCTGTAGGAGTCATTTAAACATCAAACTTTTTTAATAAGTAGATAACTGAACAAATGATATAATTGTTTGTTTGTTTGCTTGTAGGATTTTCAGCATGTACTTGTACCAATCCAATATGGCTCATCAAAACCAGATTGCAGCTTGACCAAAGGTAATTCAGTATTTCATCATATATTGTAAATATTATAAGCATTAACAGTACACTAGTTACCATTGAAATGATTGATTTCCTTTATTCATATCATTTCATTATGTGGTGACATATACAGTAGTTATAGTTTCCAACTTTTGGATGGTGTTCGACTGTTGGCAGTCATAAGAAATGGCAGGTGGTGATATTTGCATGTTAATGCCTTGCTTAAAGTTGACATTGCATCAGCTATTTCAAACCATTGTATTGTCTCATTGAGCTTAAGTATCCATTAAAAAGTTTATAAATGTGCTTTTGTGAACTTGAGGGATGCGAATAGGCTCTAGGCTTTTAACCATTAATGTCATACTTTCTTAAAAGTACATGTATAACACATATTTAGAATTCTATTAACTTAAAGATAAACATAACTTCGAACTGGGTTAATTGCTTTAAGTACTCAGATCAGTTAAGAAAATTGCCTTGTATAATTATTTGTTTTGAGCAAATTTCGAAGGAAATTAACTGAATTGACGTCAAAGTTTTGTCAGTAAGCATCATTACATAAGGTTAGATTGACTTCATTGATATGAACTTTCCTGTTTACATCTTAGTCTAATGGAAAAATATTTTTGTTTTTAGTCCGTGAAAAATTAATCTGTTTCTGAATGCCATAGATAAGCTTTAATTTGTAAAATAAATTTTTCACTCTTAGTATAGATGGAAGGCCTGTTTATATTGAGAATATTATTCCACATGTGTGGAAATTGTTTCCTTGACCACGACCCTAAACAACCCTCATAATCATATTCTAGAGCAGCCGTCTTGACCATAAGTTCATAACAACATTACTGTAAAACCTTGGTGTTTGTAAACAACACCAGGGGTGGCACTAGGAGGTCACCAAGTTTGTTTTGATTTTTATATTGCAACAAAAATGAATAGAAACATAGCACAACGCACTCTTTTGAATGTGGGTACTCTATTGTAAACATAAAAACAGACTGTTTACTGTTAAATTCATATTGGTGGTACATGTATTTATAAATATGAATATTTGCCATCTTGTTTAAGTGACATTGATTTCCCAGTAGAGTTCAGTCATAGTCATAGGTCAATTTTAATGAGGCTGCATTTTGTGTATTATAATCTTTGGAATATTTGCCACATTTTCACTCCAGCTATCCCCCCTCCAAATCTAATGTTACAACTCAGATCTATGTGATTTCTAAATATGTTGCCAATTGCCCATTCTGTATCTTTTACTTAAACCCTAGCACCTATTACATAATCAGTTAGACATTCATCTTTAATAATTTGTACATAGATACTGTAGCAAAAGATAAAGACTCATAACATGTATATAAAGTAAGGTCATAATCTGGACAGTTTTATTTACAGCAAATTGGGTGACACGTGCTCTGTAAAAGTGTGTCTTGTTTTGAATTATCATATTTCATATCTAATTTATTTAAACAGTACAAGTGGATCAACTTATTCAACTGTATAATATTTTACATATCTGGGTTAGATTTCTCATTGCTGTTATCTATTTATTAAAATATTTCATTTAAGTCGATGAAAGTAAAGCAAGGAAACCAGTTAATTATGCTTTTGAAAAGTTTAGGCCTCATACTTCAATATAGTAATAGTAAGGTCAGAAGTCATTTTTCTTTGTACTCTAGCAATTGGCCACATCAATCAACATGTTCGCTATGTGAACATGTATGCACATGTCTGAAACATGTGAATTTATACTCAGTCAATGTCTAAAGCAATTTGATGCCACATGCTTTGTAAACACGTGTACTTTGTAAATGTGTGTACACATGTCTGAAACATGCATTTAAGATCAATTAGCGTCTACATCTTCAATTTAATTATCTAGCACATTTGAATTTAATCTAATTTTTATGTCACCACCAAAAGTGGTGACATATTGTTATGGTCTCCGTGTTTTTGCGACGGTGGTTGGTGGTTGGAGGTTGGCGTCCGGCGTCTGTAACAATTTCTTACAACTTCCTATAACTTAACAAATACTGTTTAGACTGACTTCAATTTTTTTCTAAATCATCTACATGTTCTCAGAAGTTCAAATCTCACTTTAGATTTGACATTTGACCTTCAATGACCTTCTCAAGGTCAAAAAGGTCTTTTTTCAACTTGCTTCACATTGACTAAATTTTTTTTCAAAATCATCTACATGTTCTCAGAAATTCAAATCTGACTTTAGATTTGACATTTGACCTTCAAATCTGACTTTAGATTTGACATTTGACCTTCAATGACCTTCTCAAGGTCAAAAAGGTCTGTTTTCAACTTGCTTCAAATTGACTAAATTTTTTTTCAAAATCATCTACGTGTTCTCAGAAATTCAAATCTGACTTAAGATTTGACATTTGACCTTCAATGACCTTCTCAAAGTCAAATAAAAAGGTCAAAAAGGTCTTTTTTCAACTTGCTTCAAATTGACTAATTTTTTTTTTCAAAATCATCTACATGTTCTCAGAAATTCAAATCTGACTTTAGATTTGACATTTGACCTTCAATGACCTTCTCAATGTCAAAAAAGGTCAAAAAGGTATTTTTTCATCTTGCTTCAAATTGACTAATTTTTTTTTCAAAATATCTACATGTTCTCAGAAATTCAAATCTGACTTTAGATTTGACATTTGACCTTTAATCACCTTCTCAAGGTCAAAAAAGGTCAAAAAGGTCTGTTTTCAACTTGCTTCAAATTGACCAATTTTTTTTTTCAAAATCATCTACATCTTTTCAGAAGTTCAAATTTGACTTTACAAGTTCTCAGAAGTTCAAATCTGACTTTAGATTTGACCTTTGACCTTCAATGACCTTCTCAAGGTCAAAAAGGTCTTTTTTCAACTTGCTTCAAATTGACTAATTTTTTTTTTCAAAATCATCTACATGTTCTCAGAAGTTCAAATCTGACTTTACATTTGACATTTGACCTTCAATGACCTTTTCAAGGTCAAAAAGGTCTTTTTTCAACTTGCTTCAAATTTACTTAATTTTTTTTCAAAATCATCTACATGTTCTCAGAAGTTCAAATCTGACTTTACATTTGACATTTGACCTTCAATGACCTTCTCAATGTCAAAAAAAGTCAAAGAGGTATCTTAAGGTCAAAAGGTATTTTCCAACTTGCTTTAAATTGACCAAATTGTTTTAGGTGGTGACATTTTGTCATGTTAATGCCTTGTTCACTAATATTGTTCAAATGAAGATAAAATGTTGTCATTGCTGTTCTTGGTAGATTTTCATCAATCTTTTTTATCAATTGTACTTTGAATTAGTTTTAAACTAAGTCCAGGAAGATAATAAATCATTTGGTTGAAAATACTAAATTTGCATATGTCTAATAAATAGACCTTTAATTGGCATTTAGGTAATCATATAATTCAAATCTTTGATTATGATTCATCATTGTGTTACTTTTGTAGTGCAACTTGTATTGATTGTCCTACAAAAACAAATTTATTTATTTCCAGTCATAACAGCTTCATGACAATTCGCCAGTGTATATCCGATGTCTATAAAAACCATGGATTGAAAGGTTTCTACAAAGGTATTACAGCATCATATTTCGGGATCTCAGAGACTATGATTCATTTTGTCATTTACGAGGCTCTAAAAGCCAAACTAATGGAGAGTGACAGAAAAAAATATGCCAATAATACAGACTGTAGTGAAGCAGAGACAAAGATAAGACACTTCCTTAAGTATATGCTGGCTGGTGCTACATCGAAAACATGTGCTTCAACATTAACATATCCTCATGGTAAGTCAGTGATTCACAGCTTAGGTTCATCTATCACATATTTTAGACTTAAGAAGCATGGCTTGACAAGGTGAGAACTGAGGCAAAAGTTATAAACTTATTGGTTGTGAGATTAATTAAAAGTACATTTTAATCCTAAGGAACCTAGTAAGAAGCCATTACTGGTCTGAACAGCAAGTAATATTTGTTTCATGAGCAATATCTATTTTAGTAAATGATTTACTTTGCCTCCATTTAATGAATTGGAATATTGTACACTGCATGTGTAAATGCTTTGCTTTTAGCTATTCTCACTCCCTCCACCTTCAGCTAAGGATTTTGCAACATCTGCGGCCCCTCCCTCCAAAAAAATTTCAGATATACTTATGATAACTTATATGTAATTTTCCAATTGTTTTTCTATTCCAGAGGTCGCAAGGACAAGATTACGTGAGGAAGGTAACAAATACCGGTCTTTTGTACAGACTCTTAGAACAGTTTACATAGAGGAAGGCTACATGGGCCTCTATAGAGGTCTAGGTACTCAGATGGTCAGGCAGATACCTAACACAGCAATCATGATGGCAACATATGAAGCTGTTATATACTTCTTTGGACGAGTTGGACATGCTGACTGAATGAGACATTGTTATCCATCTTCCATGTGTTGTGGCTAATATGTCTGGTTTATTCCAAACACAGATACCAGTGGCTCCAGAACAGGACTTAATTGTCATCCAGACTTGTATTATTTCAGATCAAGTCTCTACAGTTCTGATCAGTTTAGAGAGGCTGGTAATTTGGTTACTAATACACTTATTTTTGCATTTGGCAGTCTGCTCTGCTCAATCTCTGGGCCAAATTTTGTACATAATCGTTTGTATATCAAATCAATATACAGTTTGAATTGCAGTATGAGATTTTTTGCCCTTGTTTGGGTGTAACGTTTTTAAGTATATATATGAGCAGAGCTTTTGTGTGCTATGTTATGCTGAAATGTGCATATCTAGGTTAAAGACTTTGATATGCTCAATCCAGTAGATTTGTTGTGTTGTTTGTATAGATAGATTCTATTTTGCAGCCTTGGTTTTATTCCAGGCTGTCACACTTGTTGATTAGGCTGTCACACTTGCCTGTGCATGTGTTATTATTGTGAGTGAATTAATATCTGCACAATGTACTAACATAAGCTGTTTGTTACAGAGGTGCTAAGAACACAGCTACAGGAGGCCAGTACGCAATGTCGGTCTCTGCGGCAAATTGTCAAACACATTTACTCAACAGATGGCATCCCAGGCCTGTACAAAGGCTATAGGATCTATCTTTACAAACAAGTGCCACAAATGGCGATAACTCTATCAGTCTATGAGCTTGTATCTGCTTACCTTAAGTAGAAGCTGTGTTCATATTTCCAGATGTTATTGTTTGATTTTCTGAAGTGATAACTTTATAGTTGTTCAATAAGCAACTATTATTTCCCAAACTAAATAATTACTCAGCATGTCTTTGGAATGTGGTTCAGTTCTTGCTTGGCATTCTTGAATGTTTTATTATAGTGAAATTGATGGGAAATCTAAACCAACTTAAAAGTGCAATTTTTAACAAAAGAGCTTATGAGAAAAATTCTCCATGTTCAGATTTATTTGCTTCCCCATGTACATATTGTTTATATCTTGTAGTTTTGTAATATGCAGTATTTTTGTAATTTGATTTTAAAATTAAAAAACCAATGAAGGTCATGAAAGCATTATTAGTATTTTTGACAATGAGAATACTCCATGTGTTAATGGCCAGTATAATAAAGTGTGTTTACTTCAGTTATATTTTCAAAAGCAATCCAATATTGAGTCATATCAAAATATGATGTAACTTATAACCACCATCATTTGCTTTGCATTAAAAAATTTCCGGTGAAATTGAAACATAATCAAGTGAAAGTATGATTGAACACACACCAGCATATACAATACGACATTGTACATATACTGTATATATTGTAAATAGAAACAAAACCAGAGGAATTGTTAACCAAGTTGAAAAACTCGAGATCAGAATTTTTTTTAGATCTGATTTTTGATATGTTGAAATATTGTAAGTTTTACATAAACTTCTATAATATAGTCCTGCTTCAAGTCCCTGCATTAAACCTCTGTCCCATTCTCTTTTGCAAAGGGAAAAGAGAGGGTACTGGGAAATTGATGGGGGACTTGTTGCAAGACTTTCTATTATATTTCACGCACACTATCAGCAGATCAGGGTTCTATTTTATACACATTTGTTTGGCTTTATAGATTGTAAATGTATGTTATTAAGGACTTTGTCAATATTAAATCAAATAATTTTCTCAATGTTGCAGTTAAGAAATCTATTGAGATAAGAACTCAATAATAACCGAGCAAGTTACATTTCTGTTTATTGAATTATAGAACATGTCCCTAAAATTGACCTACTTTATGAGAGAAATACCAGAAGGCATATAGAAATTTTTGTAGCAAAGCAACTTTTTAGATAATGTTATCAATGTACATGTTAAATGAATAGCTTCAATTTATTTGTGATATACTCCAAAGTCCATCAATACATGTAGAAAACAAAGATTAAGTTAAGACATGAAATTAATGTTTTCTATTCAAGGCCATGTTAAAGAAGTGACAACTTTGTTACAACTTGATATAATAACTATTGTTTTATAGGATGGTTTCAGATACCAACATACTGTTCACAATTTAATAGTAGCCTTGGAATTGTTAATCTCCATCTTTATAGTGATCAAGTGAGATTTTGTGCCATTAAATCTTAAAATGTTGGCGCCAATATAATTTTCTTCACTTTCCTCCAATGGATAATTTTCCTCAAACCCAACAGATTAAACCTCTTCAATATTCCAGAGATTGGAAATCACCAAATAAAACAGCATCAAATTGAGTAGTAATACAGTATTGTTAATGAGTACCATTTTAATGTTTATATGACAAGGATTTCCTGGTGTAATATTTGTAAACACATTGGATACATAAACATGTTTAGAATGTGGAACAATGCCTGTACAAGTCAGGATGACTTCTATGCTGAAACATTACAAACGTAATGACATGTAAAAATAAAAAACAACTGAAAAAAATAATAAAATAAAATTTAAAAATAATTTTAGGTTTTATGTGGATTTATTGTTTACTTAATGGTATTATTATAAATAAATAATTTTAAATTAATTTATAATACTAATGTTTAAAGAGTACAATCGCCCACTTGTTATTTCCTACACCTTATCCCATCAATGATGAGAGACAGTCTTCTCATTACCATCAATTAAAAAGAAATTGTTTTCTAAGATAAATACTTTTTTCCTTGATATGGTTTAATAAGTTTGAATACTCCCATGAGTAAACTGACATTTTTATTCACTTTGTAAACGAAAACCATTAATAACAAAGATATTGGTGTTATTTTCAGCAATCTATTGGGTATGAGATCATTTCGTTTTCTTTATATTCCATGAAAAAGTTTTATTCGTGACCAGCCTCTTTCCTGAACACGAAATGGTGGCCATGTAAACAATAATTTATAAATCTCAAGTTCAAAAGATGGCAGCATTCAATAATTCTGATTTCAAATATTTGCTTCATACATTATATAGATGGCAGCATAATACAGTGTATGTTTCTCTTTGATATTCCTTTGCTCCATCTGTTCAAAAGTGTTCCACTTAAACAGTATCGTTCCACTTGGCAGTTTTATTGAGTTTTAATGTCGTATGCTGGGGAGGGCATGGGCATGGGCATAAGCATGTAATTGTTTTTCTTATGCCAGACAGATATCCCAATCTGGCCCTCATATTCAATCTTTTAGAACTTTGGGCTCATGTAGATGGTCACTCGAAACGTGCTGATGTATATCAGAGAAATATTATATAATATATCTTTGCGTGGGCACCTACACCTAGCTTTGTGGTGTAATTTGTCATTTTTGTCATACTCTTCTTATTCGTTAGTTTAATTAATTACGTCATAAAAAGTCTCAACGTTGTCAATTATGAACGAGTCCCGTTGTATGTTTATCTTTGACTGAGAGCATCCGGATGATAATGCTGACATAAAGGTACAATATAAACGATTCATTGATTCATGTGCCAAAATTCTTTTTACACATTTATTCAGATTATGTTTGAACAATATCAAAACATTCAAAATTTAAACATAACGCTTTTTGCAAGATCACCATATTATTGCATAAGAAACTTATTGGATAATCATGATGATACTATTTCTGTACCATTTCGAACAAATCCAATTCCTTAATCCGACCTTATAACGATTTTCCTTTTTTACACAAGGGCCAATCACCTCCAACTCGCACTCCCGAGCTAAAATTCTTTAACATCATTGTATATTGTCGTGAACTTGGGAGCCAAGTAACCATCACACAACACCTCGTCCTTGGCAAAACATTTTATAAAGGTTCATTATTATCACTATTCATTCCATGATTCCCATACAAATTTACTTAAAGCCCATTTCATTCATAATTCATAATCCCTAAATACAACAATTTCCCAATTCTTCAAATAGAACTTTTCAAATCAAATAGCAGTAGTTGGCATTCACCATTTAAAAATCTTTAACTCACGGAACTATAGTAAATTGATCAAGTCGATAAAATTATGTCAAATATATCAACTAAAACGTAGCATTTGAATGATTCTTTTTTAAGAGTTTGGATTATTATATTTTTCGCTGTTTTCAGGTAGGTAAAACTAAAAATGAATTCCATGTCTAGATAGATAGATTACACATACATGTAAAAGTCTCATAAACATATATGCTACGCATATCAAATAATTAATTTTAGAAATTTATGATTCATCTAAGGAAATAAACATTATTTCCAGTTTTAAGCATGATAACGTTCCCTGTTTATGGATCATCTTTACTGCAACTCTAACATTCTGATACTCATAGCATCTTTTTCTGCGTCGCAGGAAGATAGAGATGGAGAGGGCGTGGCTTACCACGATGACATTCCAATGGATCTAAATGTTCCCAAGCGGACATACATTTTCTATGATGCTGCAAGAAAATGATTTAACATTACACCCCCTGCAAAAGTTTGGCAACCATAAGTTCACTTTTTTAATCAGATTTTAGTGCCTTTTTGGCGATCTTTGCGAAATCGATCACAAATTCCAGACATAACTAAAAAGACTAAAAACTAAGAGGCATTTCATTTGGGGGAAGGGGAAGTTGTCACTTGTACTCTTTATTTTATGTGAGTGAGATTCCCTCCCTACAGAATATTCTTACTTATCACCCTAAATTCCTGATTTCAGAGAATGTGTTTTGAGGTTTTGAGAAACAATAAAAGGTCAGTGAGGCAAATTAGAAGGTGGTTCCACATTACTACAGAAGTTGATTTTGAACTGTGAAGTGCGGACGTGACTTCAAAAGCAACAAAAGTCGATTGCCATTCTCCATTTCCTCCAAGCATAACATGCTATTCAATAGGGGGTTCCGATTGCGCTGAAATGTAAGAAGGTCATCATTTCATGTTCAGTCTTTATTTCAGTCTATAATTAAATCATTGGGAGGCATTATATGTGGCTTGATTTATGTTTTAGGATACTAGAATAGACCGGAGACGATGGCAAGTAAAGCTGCTAAGACGATTCTTGTCACTCTCAATTCAATCTTTGTTGTAAGTATCTGATGATGTTGTATTTACAGCTAGCTTACAATATAAGGTTCTTATTACAAACTAAAAAAGCCATTTCCCGATATTTGTGTATGGGTACAATCTACCCGGTCGTTGTTGAGCTAAAAGTTGTACTTACACCTTGCTTACAATAGTGTTGTAACTACAAGCTTGCATACTCATAATAGTGTTGTAAGTACAAGTTATACGAAACAATGTTGTAATTATTTCAAGCTTGTTTCTGAAAGTGTTAAAACATTGTTTCGTATTGTGTGTACACCGATTCATATATTTCATTATCTTACATCTTTCATTACATAAGTTGATGGGTGGAGGCATGCTTGCTCTGGGTATATTCCTATTAGTTGGATACAAGAAGTTACTTGATATGCTGAAAGGATGGGGTGCTGGAGGGGAGCTTGTAGATGCCGTAGACCCATCTCTACTAGAAACAGGTAAGATAACGGAGTTGCTTGATATGCTGAAAGGATGGGGTGCTGGAGGGGAGCTTGTAGATGCCGTAGACCCATCTCTACTAGAAACAGGTAAGATAACGGAGTTGCTTGATATGCTGAAAGGATGGGGTGCTGGAGGGGAGCTTGTAGATGCCGTAGACCCATCTCTACTAGAAACAGGTAAGATAACGGAGTTGCTTGATATGCTGAAAGGATGGGGTGCTGGAGGGGAGCTTGTAGATGCCGTAGACCCATCTCTACTGGAAACAGGTAAGATAACGGAGTTACTTGATATGCTGAAAGGATGGGGTGCTGGAGGGGAGCTTGTAGATGCCGTAGACCCATCTCTACTGGAAACAGGTAAGATAACGGAGTTACTTGATATGCTGAAAGGATGGGGTGCTAGAGGGGAGCTTGTAGATGCCGTAGACCCATCTCTACTGGAAACAGGTAAGATAACGGAGTTGCTTGATATGCTGAAAGGATGGGGTGCTGGAGGGGAGCTTGTAGATGCCGTAGACCCATCTCTACTGGAAACAGGTAAGATATAACGGAATTGCTTGATATGCTGAAAGGATGGGGTGCTGGGGGGGGGGAGCTTGTAGATGCCGTAGACCCATCTCTACTAGAAACAGGTAAGATAACGGAGTTACTTCAGTGATATACTGAAAGGATGGGGTGCTGGAGGGGAGCTTGTGGATGCCGTAGACCCATCTCTACTAGAAACAGGTAAGATAACGGAGTTACTTGATATACTGAAAGGATGGGGTGCTGGAGGGGAGCTTGTAGATGCCGTAGACCCATCTCTACTGGAAACAGGTAAGATATAACGGATTTACTTGATATGCTGAAAGAATAGGGTGCTGGAGGGGAGCTTGTAGATGCCGTAGACCCATCTCTACTGGAAACAGGTAAGAACGGAATTGCTTGACATGCTGAAAGGATGGGGTGCAGATGTGAGCTTGTAGATACTGGAGACCTCTCAGTTCTAGAAACGATTAACGTCGCGATGTCTCATTTGAATTAAATGACGAACCAGTGCTTTCGTTATGTGTAAGTCATAATGATTATCAATTTGTAAGGTCCTTATGTAAGATATCTGATTAAGCAATAATGCTTATCACCATTAGTTATGATCATTATTCATTACTTATCCGAGATACAACAAAAGCTATGATAATTACCACCGTTGTTTACGATGTTGCTCTGTCCGTACCAGGAACTGGTAAAAGATGAATCTAGCCCGTTAGTGAGATTCATAAGTTCCATGTCGTTGGATAATCTGACTTATCAGTTATCACGGTAATTATCTATTACTATTATTCTACACTTTATTTGTTATAACGTGACTCCAACTGTGTTTATGACGATTATATGATACGCTTGAATAATCATCTTTCAGCTGCATACGTGCTTATCGGGGCTGGGTCAGTGGTGTTCATCATAGCGTTCCTTGGCTGCTTTGGGGCAATGAAAGAAATCAGGTGCTTCCTTCTGATTGTAAGTAAATCAAATATGCACATCTATCTATCTGAATTAATCACAACATTCGATTATTCCCACAGGTCTATTATTTCTTGGTTTTTCGTTCATAATAGATGTCCCTTATATACCAGCCCAATGTGATTCTTAAAACACATCTAAGACAGTATAACGAAAGAACGACCAATCAGACCCCTTACAAATAAAAAAAAGCAGTACAACTATTATAAAATAGCCTATTCACGCCCACAGTACAGAAAATACGCAAAGTTTGTGGGTATGGTGTCATTTAGAGGTAATCTCTGGTCACCGAAAGAATCCTATCTATACATATCTATGTTTATTCAATAGTTAGCATGATATTCATAGGATAACATGTGAAAATAAAAACGGTATTTTTTTAATCAGTGGTAAAATATGATATTTTTGACAGATTTTCACTTAACCATAGCATACGGTTTTTTAGCCATGACATACGATGTCGTATGCGATGGTTTATGGATTTTTGCTACTTCAGACTCAAAACGAGGCTAAGTGTCAACATCGCCGGATCGTTTGGAAAATTCGAATTAAATGACTTAATTTCCGAAGATTCTGATGATGACTTTAACTATGGAATAAAAAGAACATCCTATGATTTACTCGTGATATGATTTTAATCCACTCATGGTTATTGAAATCTGCACTCTCTCGCTACGCTCGCTCGTGCAGATATCATATCCATTCGTGGATAAAAATCATATCACTCATAAATCATAGGATATCCTCTATATATTATTATTATCCCAACGAACGAAGTTTGGTAGGGATATAGTGAAGCCCTCCGTCCGTCCGTCAGTCCGTCCGTCCGTCCGTCCGGAAGATAACTCAAATATTAGTTGACGGATTTTCTTCATATTTGGTGGAAAGATGTATATTGATGAATAGTTTTTTTCAAGATGGCCGCCGCTTTAAAAATGACGGGACTTTTTCGCAAAAATCATAAATTTTTCATTCTAAACCAAAGTAATTAATATTATTGTTTGAAATTTTGGTAGTATATTCGCAACATCTATCTATTTCACATATATTCTGTGTTTTTCATCCTGACCCCCAGGGGCCGTGTATGGGGGGTCAGGAAAACAGAATTTTTCGCTAATTTTTAGATCTTTCTGAAGTATAGCTTTATTATACTCAAATGAAAGGCAATTAAGAGTAGATTGCAAATATTGTATCTTTTTTCTGATTCGAGCCTCGTAAAGTTCAAAATGGCCGTCTAATGTACGATTTCGCAATAATTTTTCGATCCCTTCAAAGTATGGCTATATTATACTCAAATTGAAGGAATTTGGGAGTAGATCACAATTATGGTAATATTTTTCAGATTTGTACCTCAGAAAATTCAAAATGGATTTTTTCAAGATGGCCACTGCTTTAAAAATGACGGGACTTTTTCGCAAAAATCATAAATTTTTCATTCTAAACCAAAGTAATTAATATTATTGTTTGAAATTTTGGTAGTATATTCGCAACATCTATCTATTTCACATATATTCAGTGTTTTTCATCCTGACCCCCAGGGGCCGTGTATGGGGGGGGGGGGGGGGGGGTCAGGAAAACAGAAATTTTCGCTAATTTTTAGATCTTTCTGAAGTATAGTTTTATTATACTCAAATGAAAGGCAATTAAGAGTAGATTGCAAATATTTATCTTTTTTCTGATTCGAGCCTCGTAAAATTCAAAATGGCCGTCTAATGTACGATTTCGCAATAATTTTTCGATCCCTTCTCAACGTATGGCTATATAATACTCAAATTGAAGGAATTTTGGAGTAGATCACAATTATGGTATTATTTTTCAGATTTGTACCTCAGAAAATTCAAAATGGCTGCTTTGCAGGAATTCGCAATTCTAAAATCTAAATTTTTCAATTTTAACCAAAGTGATGAGTATAATTGATTGGAATTCGGTAATTGATATTTTGTTCGTTGGGATTTGCTACTCCGCGGAGTTGCCATCATCTAGTTATCTTCGTGCATAACTGTCAGACACGTGTGGACTGAACTCTACCATGATGACAACTTCTATAAATGTGCAATACAGAAACTAATTTTTTTCTTTAAATTGCACTCAAAAAGACCAGACATTCTCCTCGAAATGACCGTACTCACATACTTTGATACGTCGTATCTTTTTCAGGGACACCTCTGGATCTCATGTAACTTTCCATGAGGAACAAAATGTTATATAATATGATAGGGTGGCAATAATACTACATGTATGATTGAGTGATGATTTAAATATCACGTACATCGGTAATGATATATCACTTAATAAATATTCGAATTACTTTTTTTGCTAATGATTAAGAATAAAATTATTGTGCATATTATTTTATGTTTTATTCAGGTTAATTAAAATGTACATATTACAATTCCGATACGATAAACAAGATTATCGAAACTCTTAATATCAAAATGCTTTGCTTGTCATGTGTAAAGGGTACCTTTAAATTAGGTATATTCCTAAAATATAATTCTTTTGAGTGAATGATAGAAATACGTATATAAAGTTTATCAAATCAAATAAATGTTGGATTCAATTGCAAGTTTTTGATTAAAAATAAAGATTTTTAAAATTTGAAATTTTTAAAAGAAAAATGGTCTCATGGTATAATTATTTCTTTTTATTCTAGTACACAATTATCATATTCCTAATATTTGGAGCACAAGTTACATGTGGCGTTCTTGCTTACCTTTTCCGAGACCAAGTAAAACTAGAAGCAACTACTTTCCTAAACAACACCATAATCCAAAAATATAAAGGTGAGTTACATGTTTCATTGGGAGTTTAATGATCTTGATTTGGAATGCGCAATAAATTCTCAATAAAGGAATACAGCTAGAAATTAGTTTTCGGAACATAATTGTCTTTTCTAGATTTTTAGATTCAAGATCAAGTTGTTTCAAAAATGTGACAGTTTTCATACACTTGTAACAACTATCACACTCGTTATGATCTTTTACAATTGAATATGTTTATAGGGTTGGATTTACAAGCAGTTGAAAGTGGGAATTACTCAAAGGTGGTGGAGAGCATAGACCCATACTCTGCTGGATGGGACTTTTCACATATCTTTGTAAGTTCCAGTTTATGTGCCAACAACTATTATACATTGTTATTCCCAAAGTTGCTAACGGCTAAATAATTCAGTATTTAAGATGTAGTAATTCAAATTGTTTTTTTGTTCAGCGTCTTCAATATAAGGAATTCAGTTACTAAAACATTTCATAGCGTCCCTCAATTAATAAGCATCTAAGATAGGTTCTGAAAAAGTAATGTTTTTGCAGTTTGACTGCTGTGGATTGTACAATCATACTGACTTCTCGGACTATGCCACTGTGTGGAACAGTAGTTACACGTTTACTGTCTCCGGCTACAACATTAACATAGAGACAAAGGTCCCCGTGTCTTGCTGTAAACTAAAAGACAAGTCCAACTTTCCAGATAATCTAGGAACGGATGGGTTTGTCAACATAACAGGATGCCTGTCTGAACCTACTGAAACAAATACACACATGACGGTATGTCGTCATTTATTTGAATATCCACTTCTTCAACATATACAGTAATTTCATGTCACAAGGAAATATTAATGGGAAGATAAACCATAAATTGAATCGATGTTAAATAGTTTCAACTTTTCCATCCCTGTAGTTTACACTGGTAATTTAAGATTAACATGATTTCACGAGTGTTCAGTTTTGGAGTTAGTACATTCTGTGTGAATAAAATGTCCGTTGTGAAAAAAGAAAAACATACTATGCTTTAATTTGATCCTCACCTCTACAAAAATACGGCACGTGAGATCGTGATATTTTCTTGCTTTAGTAAAAAGGTGTCGATGACATCTTCTACTATCCTCTGGCTTGATTTTGAAATATAATTTTGTCATGAGCATTTTAAAATAAAATCTTATGTTTTAGGCTTCGAGCGATCACTTACATTAATTAATCATTTTGCCATTCCATCAAACTGAGGATGATATGCGCTTGCACTTTACAGGGTTGTTATTCGGCTGTGTTGGACTATGTGAGTCAGTATTCAGTCTACTTTATCGCCGCTGCTGCAACCGTTGCTGCTTTAGAGGTACGTTTTTATGCTAGTTATCTTATATTCTACTTCGTACAAAATAAATGTTATTGAACTAAACGTTTATCTTTCCGGACAATAAATTTTTATATTTACATATAGTATAGTTAATATGACATCACATTTATGCGGATTATTTCTTTGTTATACTTACTCTAGCTGTACGACGACCTCATTGATTCTTTCATACCGTTGTTTCAGATAATTGGAATGATAGCCGCATGTTGTCTCTGGAGAGAGATAGGGAAGGAGAATGATGATTAATGGAAGGAAAACGTTAATTGTCAGCATTATTGTCAACAGACAATCCCTAGGACTTCAAAAGCCTACATAACATGATCTCAAGCCAGCCCGAATTTAATGAGTTATAATAGATCTACCTCTACCCACACATTCGGGCACTCTAGAATTCGTATAAAAATTGGACACGCTGTTTAGTTAAATAAAATGAATTGCAGCATATACTGTAGATATATGTTTCAGTGGTTTTGATAAATAAATATACTGAATTCAAATATATTGCCTAGTTATTGAATTGAAGATGAATGAAATGTCCCTTGGTGTTACGATCTCGGATTGTGATATTGGTACTTGAATAGTGGGGAAGGGGGTATGAGACATTGTTTCTTTTCACGTTGGATTATGATTTTGAATTGTTGGGGTTTGTTTTTCTTTATTAAATGTTTTCTTTTCCTTGCTGTGTTCTGTAACCATTTTTGCTTCTTTCCTGTTTGTACTTACATCACATACATATTCATTTGCAACAAGATGTAAAAGATGACCAAATAATATATATATTTCTAGCTTTATATTAACTTAAATATATAATTTGTTTACTTCAAGTTAATAAATCACAATCAATGGGCATACGGTTTACAATGTTAAGTCCTGCTATATTTGATTACTCTTTCTGCAATACACAGATTTTTCATTTGGAATAAACAGAAGCGAAATTAAGATAGATTTATTGAGCAATAATCTCACAAGATTCCTCAAGTTCATTAATAACATACTTTGCAATTGTTCATTTGGGTAATATGTTATGAATGGATGAATTTTATCGTTAAATAAAGGTGTCTCAATGAATAATAGATGTATAAAAAATTGTTTTTCCTCACAAGCAGCTCTGTTATACATTAGTGATGATAAATGCCAGGCATTAGTGCATCACAAAGTAGCCAAGAACCAAAATCATGAAATAAAAATGATCTGTCACATCCGATCGGAAAAAGTGTAATGAAATACAAAACTCAATTTGCAGTGACGCAGAATAAGCTGAAATATTCTGGAAGCAGATCTAGACGGAGATGTCATATACTCCTCTTGAGTCTTATGTCTCATTGTGTTTCCTCAGAATTTATATATTTATTGTATCTATCATTTCTATGGTAAACCCATATGAATCACTGACTAAAAGGTAAGAGAGACCAGAACCTCAACCAATGAAGGCATATGAGCACTGGTCACTTATATTGAACGATATTCTTACTCCTATGTCCATCAAGATGAAATCATGGCATTTTAAATAATGACCACACCAATCTTAGTGTGTACTTAACATATAATCCATTCGTAATGCCATGCATAAAGTACTTTAAGTATTGGGAGATCATTGCCCACATGTTCATGATCACCATGACATATTACCTTTGTTTGGATCTAACCGGCTCGTCTGGCATTTTAATCTATATATTGTTGAGTTCGTGACAGAATGAAATCGTAGTATTTCCAATCGTCTGTCAGTTATGACAGAGACAATATAAAACAATGTTTTATATGTTTCTGGTAATGAACATCTCCTTTTCCAAAAATAATTCTAAGAATAAATATCCTAAGATTGTTTTGTATTATATTGAAATTCGGATGCTTCAAGGCCAAAATCGTCCAAGAACCATTCATATATACAAGGTGTGACATAAAAATGAGACACTTTGCACCATTCTTAAAATATAGATTCAAATAGATGAACCGTGTGTGATATACCAAAGGATGGGAACTTTAATGGGCTTCATGAGACGCATTTATATGCCATCCTGGATGCTGTAGAAGTTGTGATAATTTTTGGATTGTGATGTTAAAATACACTAAAACAGATTTTGCTCATTAACATAGAGGAAATCCGTGAAAGAATATATTGAATGTGTCTAACCTTTATTAGCAATAATAACTCTTAATCTGTAAAAACCTCATAGTCTACATTATTTATGTCATCTCTGGACATTGTTTTTTTTTTTACTATTTATGCATATTCTAACATCAACTTGTTGATAATTAATTATAAGCCCGATGCATAGGTGTTACCAGCTAATCGGCATAGCCTAGTCCAATTTTAGCATTTTCAGCTCAGGCTTTTTTCCAAAATTCTTACGATTCCTCAAGTAAATGGCACAAAACATATTAAAAGTCACAATCTTGTTTTATTACTAAACAGAAGACTACTTAGGCTACTAAAAACGTTGATATGCTAGTGAGATTTGAGAGAAATTATGTCAAAATAGTGAAAAATAAAGAATTTTACCTAAGGTTATAGAAATAATGAAAATATGTATCATCTGACTATTATAGGTATATAATATTTACAAATATTGGAACTTTATTCTCATTAGCTATCTTCATGACATTTAGTATATGCACACTCTTAAAACTAGAATATATATGCGAGTGCCCCATTTTTATTGTCCCACCCTGTATATAGTTATTTCCTGTCGATATAGTGATGAAGTTCAGTCTACAATGCCCGTTTTGCATTTTCTAATACATTGTTACAATCCTTTGAATGTGAAAGACTAAATGCAATCTGCCATGGGATTTTATCATCCAGCATTGTAATTTCATTGTACTAGTTTCGTTCGTCAGCTAAACCCTGCTCTTTCCGAGTTATAATTTTAGAAAACCAAGGCCAACAGGTAAACGGAAAGTGTTTTTTGGAAATAAATGAGCCATATTTCAACGGTAAGGCTCTGATGTATATGAAGATGACATTTTTTCACTGAGATTGTCAAGTTTCAACGTATATATCGTTCAATATATCATTTACAAATTCAAGTTTACACTTCCCGTCGCATTGTACATCTACAAAAGTGTGCGTCCCAGTGCAAGTTTATCACTTGGAATCTCATAGAATTCATGATACAACAGAGAATAAATTAAACGAAAAAATAGTTGTAGATAGAGTTGTACTATTAAAGGGGTGATTGATGATCGACGTTTCAATTATCAACGTCATTAGGCTAACAATAAAGAAAAGTCATTATTGCGTATTGCGTCCTCGTTGAAATAACTTCATTGTTAGCGTTATCGCTAGAAACCACATGATTAGATACAGTTATACATGTCATGCACAGCAGAAGTGAACATCATAGGAACGCCCCATCAATGATGGACCCTAAAGCATCAAGTCATAGTGCATTGTTAGACATTAGACGAGATGCGCAACAGATGGGCTTGCTCGTGTGGATGGTGTACATACATTCTAATGTTCCTGGTCCTTTTTGAAATAGCTACAATAGCTTTGATTTAATTGCACCATATACTTGTATTGACTACTACGACGTTTGCGACAGAAATAACATTGTTTGATTCACTCGTGTTCCTGTTTCGTTGTTATTCATTTGTTGCACAGAATTCAAAATATGAGAGCATTCCCATAGCCTTCATATTATTTCCAATGGTTTCATCTACAAATTGATCAACCGGGTGTATCCCACAAAAGCCGGTATTCGGCCTGAACGTAAAGCCTTTGCAGAGATCTTTCCTGAGACAAGCCCTTGCGCAATCGGTCAGTTTGACACCATATTTCACTTTTCCATCCTCGCTACTCCAACCCGCTGGGATGTTATGAGCTCTATTATCAGGGTACCGGTCTGACAATTGAAAATATCCCATTGTATGCCTGTTGTTTCTTATGAGGCAGCTACCTGAAAATAGGTTTTCAATTTAAAGTCATGTTAACATTTCTGGAGAACCACATTAACAAGTGGTAAAGCTAACAAGTTAATTGTTGTCTATGGATATCACAATGTCATTTGATTCGCGTACTTTACCTGAATATACAGTAAACGTCGCAAAATACCATTGCCAACCATTCATGATCTAAAATCCGGTTGCACTATCTACAAAGGTTCTTTGAAAATGCATATTTAGGTATTCGCCAAAAATGTTAAAAGTGTGAACCAAGATTCTATTTACTTACCACCACTTGTTTTAACTATTTTCTATATCACTTTTATTGTCGCTGACATGAACAGAATTAATATTGATTGTTGAACAGTAAACACCAAAATGTATATTAACTGAGTAAGAAATGACGCTTTACGTCATGAAGAAGCAACCCTGGTTTATACTCCTATTCACTGGTGATCCACTCGATTACGGTGGTTACCGAAACGGGTAACAAAAGACGGAACATCGAAGGTACGATTTTTCTTTTTTCCTTATTTCACACGTTGTAGGCAGAATTCCCACGACATTTTTGTTACAAATGTGTATCAGTATCACATGTTTAAGAAAATGTACATATTTGCGAACAAAATAGTTCAGAAGACAACAGAATCGTCGATTTAATTCCTCACTTAAGTAACACAAACGGTTTTTAAAAAACAGTTAAGATCTGCACTTTTAACCCTTACCGTTTATGTAACTTAAGTGAGGAATTAAATCGACGATTCTGTTGTCTTCTGAGCTATTTTCGCAAACATATATATTTTCTAAAACACATGATACTGATACACGTTTGTGAGAAAAAAAAGTCGAGAAAAATCGTACCTTCGACGTTCCAACATGTTGTTACCGAAACGAACTAACCAGCGTAATCGAGCGGATCAACAGTGCTGTTGATGGACGTATAATATTTCTTGAATCCCTGGTTCTAAAATTTGTTTGAAACCAGGGAATTCTTCATTTTTACCAGATTTAACTACATACATATACAACAGGTGATGTTCTATTAAGTGACATATGTCACTCCATACGCAAATCTTTTAGTCATTTCAGGACATCGTTGGTCTAAAGGTATTTCACTTATTTCCATGATGAAGTCCTTTGAATGAAAGATGCTTCAGGACAAATATGGCTGGTTTTGTTCTTTATTACTCAACTACTCATTAATGACGTTTTAAACGAGCCCGTTTAAAAATATGAGTTCGATGCATGATTATATAACTCATTGCAGTCGTAATATTGTGAAATCAAACGAAATATCATTTTAAAACTAATTGATTTAAAAGATATGAGATGTCAATATATGAAATTTATTTCTATTTATTAAAACGTTTTCCTACCTTTACAACTATGAAATTCACTCAGAACAAACACCATATAGATAGTTAAAGTCCAAAAACTGCAACTCATATTTTCAAAGTATAACATAATCTCAAATGAAGCTCAGATAGCACTTGGATCACTATAAGGAATATTATCCATTTTAGCAATTCATCTTTAATGGTTTAAATCGTAGATCTAAATGCCTATGTTACGTGTCATGTTTACGACTAATAAAAAACAGAATGGCTTAATCCAGAGCGCGAGCTTCGTTATTACGATGTTTTTAAATAAAGTTGTTATAAAATGTAAATCCTGTCATTAGTTGAAGGGACTCCAGAAAGAGAAATCCTGCAAGTATATGATATAAATTTCCGTCAAACCTCTCATTAATACTGATGAATACATTACAAAAGACATAAGAAAGCTATCAGGACTCATCAGGTATCCAATAGGCATAAATCTGCTGATCATCACGATGCTATAACTAACGCGATGATCGCAGCAATGTGCGCAAGATTCACAGTTATTCATTCCTGCATTAATTGTATTGTACTCTGTTTTCCTTGGATGATTTCGCCATGGAAACACTATTACTAATAGTCAATGGACCTCACTTGCAAACTAAAAGAAACAATTACAATTATTACTATTGGTATCTATAATTTAAGTTACGTGGAAGGTGCCATAAATTAAAATATTGTCTTCAGATGCGCGCAGATTCTAGTTATAAAATACGAAGACGACGAAGCTCTCTTTTAAGAAGTGAAGTCGAACGAATGCAAAGGGTATCTTCAGATTGGAGACAGCATTTCAATATAAACTGACCTGACTGAAGTCGCTTTCAATAACAAATAAGTGAAACGAATGCTAACTAACATTTGAACTTCATCTGAAGCATTCTCCGAACGTATGATTCCAGACATCATCCACTAAGTTCCTCCTTCTTCCAGGTGGAAGTTAAGTTGGACTTTTCCCCAAAAATATTGTGAAGGGGAGGGTGGGGTGTTTTGGGCGACCCCCCCCCCCTTTCTCAAAAGTGTTTTTAGAGATTAGAAAAAGAGAAAGTACCGGAGAGGGTCTAAATAATTTCAAATTTTTCCTGAATGGCATGCCCCAAGAGCTTGCGTACCATCGACTCTTTGCGTGTGTGTCGTTGGTGCAACCCATCCATACGCAAAAGTCGCCCCCACCTCTAGGGAAATCTTTCGGCGGAAGGGCCTGGTGCTACGTTGGATAATTGGCAATGTGGACATAGTTTTTTAGCTTAAATCCTCGTCAGAAACTCTATTTGATTTAGAGAAAACATGTTTTAGTACCATCGCAACACCATCCTGAGCAGGTGTCCAAAATTCAGAATATCTTCTTACGGAGGATGCATCGCATGTTTTTTATGTTTAATAGCCCGAACAAATTGTACCGAGACTAACATAAAATGGCTCTGTTAGTGATGAAGGTATGTTCTTGATGTTTAGTCATCACAAACTTAAATATTCATAAACATCTGAAAGATTCATCGGAAAACTTAAAAAAACGTTAGTACCGTCGCCTATTTTTCCACGTTTGATGTCCCCAACAGATTGTTCCGAGACAAACATCATAGAACAACCCTGTTAGTGATGATGTTATCTATGATTTGATGCACTAATGGAGATCATTTAGAGCATCATGTCATCTAAAATGTTGAAGAAAATTGATGAAGGAAAAACGAGTTGACCCCGTTCATTTGGATACAATTTCTTAGGGACATCGTATATTTGAGGTCAAATTGGCCATTACCTTGAAAAAGCTAATCTGAAAACCACTTTCATAGATTAATTCAAATGGAGTCATTTGAAATAATTCAAATTAAACTTTTGTCAATGGTCAGTAACGTAAACCAATGTGTGATTCCTGTGTTAGTACACAATCTTTTCATGTTGTCGTTTTTACAAAATATTGCTTATAGCACATAAAAAAGATGGCAGTAAGGTTTGTATTAAAGTACTGTATATGGTCCACAACGTGTCTGGTTATAATTGACACAAAAACTTAATTCAAAATGAATCGTTCACTATTTGGTCGTGAAGCAATGCAGTGTTTACCCAACAAACAGGTTTCTTAACTTTATTGTTAAATGAAAGAACGGCTACGGCGACATTCGTTTAAATTGGTTTTGGTTACTTAAGGTATTTCAGACAGAATGAGTAATTTTTTTATTTGCAATTCTTGCGTCCGTGTTATATATAAAAAAAGTGATCCTTTTGAAAGACACTTTGCTCAAATAACGTGACGATTGACCACTGAACATATACATGTACATTGATTAAAAATTCATAAAAAATAAGCGATGGAATTCTCTTACTTCTACCCCCCCCCCCCCCCCCTTGTTTCCCTATGTAAATAGCAGTTAAAGATAATACATGAAGGTACGGTAAACATAGTTGCCAGTGTAAATGCATCAACAAAATACATGTATATAGTTAAGTGACTAAACTATTTAGGTATTGAACGAAACTACATTGCCTTCCTATTTATGATGAATCAACGAGGTCAATCTTTTTTATTGAGATTTAAAAAAGAAGCCATTTTTACTTAACGTTTTTTCTTAAAGTTGCTTGGCAAGAGTTGGATATCAAGTTAGCCGAAATAGACGTATATAAGCAATATAAAGAGGAACATACATGTATAGTACCCCGGACAGGTTGTATGATGCAGTCGTTTTTTACTCTATATTTGCAATAGAACAACCATTCTTATTAAAATTTTCATATTTTATTCTGGAGACAATTTCCAACATGGAAAAAAAATATTTTAACGAAATTCCCAATTTTATGATTTTGACAGACTTTTTTCAAAAACACTACACTGTCAATAAAATACAGGTTTTTGCTTGAACAATTGAACTTTTAACGTCATTTAAAATATTGTCTGGCTATTGAATTTTTGGCCGCCTAAAGTCTCCAGATATATCTGTTGCCATATTAATAATTATGTCTGATTAATGTTATTCACTTGAGTCATATTCAATATTATTACAGTGCATTAGGCCAATAAAAACTTGTTGCTCTGGGTCTCGTTTTGTGAAATGTTCCCTAGATTGAGCCCAGATAGAGGAGGTCAATCTTCTTCTCCATGGACATGAGTTCAACCCGATCAGACTGTTCAATACTGTCCAAAATGAAGTAAAACATTACGAATCTCCAATTTCAAGTATTCTTGGCATTAGATCCTTCAGAGATGTTAATAGAGCTGTGTCAAATGTTATCATGAAATTGTCAGGGAGACCTGACATTTTAAAAGCGTGGTACAATTTACGTGCCACGGGCTTGCATGCTGGGTGACGGTGGCGGAAAAACCCAGTGGAGAAAAAGGTGCGTTTTCAGAGGAAACGTGACCCAGAGTGACAAGTTTTTTATTGGCCTAATGCACTGTAATAATATTAGGCCTATTGAATATGACAAAAATGAATAACAATAATCAGCCATAATTAATATGGCATCAAATACATCTGGAAAGACTTTAGGCGGCCAAAAATTCAATAACTAGACAATCTTTGAAATGACGTTAAAAGTTTAATTGTTCAAGCAAAACCTGTATTTTATTGACAGTGTAGTGTTTTTTAAAAAAGCCCGTCAAAATCATAAAATTGGGAATTTCGTTAAAATATTTTTTTTCCATGTTGGAAATTGTCTCAGAGAATAAAATATGAAAATTGTAATATGAATGGTTGTTCAATTGCAAATATTGAGTAAAAAAACGACTGCATCATACAACCTGTCCGGGGTACTATGTAAGGATAAAAAGTGCGCATTCAATACAGGTATGCTATAAATTGAACTATATATTGAACTTTCACCGTTATTGCTTGATTTTGGTTTGTTTTTATTAACTTTAATTGTCAAAGTAAATAATAAATGTAAAATTTAGAATCCTATATTGTTTTGCACTGGAATATAGTTTTCTAGAGATTTGAATATGTCGTAAATAATATCAGGATTTATTGCGTCATTTAGATATAATCTACATAGCATCCTGTCTCAGCGAATGTATTTTGCCCGGAGTATTTTGACACTGAAATTAATATGAGACACACCAAGAAACATCGAGACACACCTAGCACTTCTGCAGTAGTGTAGTACACACATCCAGCACTGTTTCCAAGCATAGGCCAAATTAATATAGTAAGGTGGATTTCTATATCCCTACATGGAGATTGGTAGTAGTGTACCTTGTGTGTCAGTGATGACTTTTAAAGAAGCAAAAATCAAACTTTTAGAAATAATAGACACAAAGTATTTTGACCGAAGGATGTTAATATTTTGCCTCCCATATTACTGTATCATCTCCAAACGCGCATGGTCTTATCAACGTATTATAAATGTATAAAATATGTAAAAATATAAATGTGAAAAAAAAACGTTTTTATTGAATAGCTAGTATATTCACATGGAATGGGTTGCTAGTTACAGATGACATTTGCTTAAAGGCATACAAAAATGAAAGATTGACGATAATTAACAACCTGGTGCCACTTTGACCGAAACGACAGTTGTCGTAATAAGATGGATGGATTGGATCTATTAGGAAAGTCAAATGCACTTGATCGTTTGTGCACATTTCTGGGGAAACATGGAATATAATTAAAAACAACCTTGCAAAATATGATAACAACATTCATCTTGTACTTTATTCTGCCCATGGTGCATCCATTCCATTCTTCAAAAATCTTCACATCGCCTAAAATGTTTACATTTCAATACATATCGTTCATGATTTTAGATTGGCGAACGATACTTTGGTGATTTTAGTAACTTTACTAATAGTATGAGATCAGGGAAGGCACCTATAACTTAAGTGTAGAGTGAAAAGTGAAAAACTAGAATGAACACTTCCATCCGGGACTTCCATACATAAGTAGAACATACATATATCGATTTCATATCAAATTAACCTCTGTCAATTGGACGTCTCTCAAGCGAAACAGTATTCAGAAGCAAACGTACCAATGGTATCTTCCAAAGTGTTTTAACATATACTCCTCAAAAAAAGTTAAGGACCAGTGGTTTTCCCCATAGGTTTACATGTTACAACTAAAACCCTGTGAATCAAGATGTACCGATTGGCGTTGCACCTACATATACATGTGTTGCTTTACATTTTTGTATGTTAGTGTTAGTTGGCGCTATTATACCATTATGATACTCATAGCATCTTTCTGTTTCACCTGAGGATGTTCACCTATCATGATGCTATTATACCTTCTCGTTGATTCCTAATGAACAATTATAAGGCTTCGTTTACTCTAACATCATCTTTTTGTACTAAAATTACATCGGGCGTCTAAGATACTATTGAAACCTGTCAATGGAGTTAATTCTGATTCAACACGTAATGTTACGTAAGTTAAGTAAAGTTCTAGTTAGCCCAAACAAGAGGTTGGTTTTTTACTTTATTTTTCATTTTATGTTTATATAGAGGTTAATGATCTTGCTGAAAAATATCATTATTTTATAAAGGTTGTGAATCAATTAAAATCAACGTATATTGTTCGTAAGATTAAGTAGATTTTCAAAGCTTGTCAAAATAAAGTTCTAATAGTTTTGTTTCTTTAATTCTGACACTCGTTGTAATTCAAATTATCCTTTAACATTCTGATGTCTCTTTGATTGTATGCATATGTACATTGACCTCGAACGTTAACATCTAATCTTGGTTAATTCAGTGAAAGTTCAGTTTCTGTGTTTGGTTGGACTTTTAATAGTATTAGGGATTATTGAAATTCTTAACCTGACCTACAAGCAATTTCCAACTCGTCCTACTTATTTTGTAGTGGTTCTATAGTTTGACTTTCAAATACTTTATTTACCTGTCGTATACACTTTTATTCGCTGCATGCCTAGGATAGAGAGGTGTATGCATAAATATAATCCATTCGGCATATATACATTTTAAAAATCAATCAGTAGTGTTTTCCACTTCCTCGTATATTGTGATTGGTTCTTTAATTATAGACACAACGAAGCCATCTTAAGAACTCCCGATTCAGGTATACACGTCAGTTTATCAAGGATCTCAAGGATCAACGAACATTATGGAGGATCATTACGTTGATCATAAGAAGGCGCCGATTCCTCACGACGCTGACGACGACGATGAGGTAAGAGAACTTAAAATACCAACAATCAGTGTTTGCTACAGAATCATTATAATCTTTTATGTAGTAAACATACCGTATGAATAAGAGGCTGAGTTTAATATATGCAATTAAAATTCAATTGTATACAGTATGTCCCGAAAGTATGGTACCCCTCCCCATAGGCAGAGATAACAATGTCTCCATAGTATGTGTCATATATCATTTTAAAGCATATCCTTTACATTGATTTGCCATCATGATTTAACTCACAAATGGGAAAATGTTACAGGCATTTCAAAATTTAGTGTTTGGTCAATATCAAATTCAGTACACGTATATATTAGATGTTTTATATGTCTCTGATTAATAGTCAGTGTGTCCTCCCCTCGACTAGTTACTGATTCTTGTATATGACCTTAAACGCGCTTTAAAAAGGGTTGTTGCAGTTTTGTAATCCTCTAAAACCATTTTAAGGCACTTTAGAAGGATTTCCTTGGATTATCTCGGTCCCCTTTTCCAACTCAATACCCATCCAATCCTTGACGATGGCACCCATATCTTCAGTCACATTCAGGTCAGAGGTGTTTCGAGGATAGTAAAATGATATTTATTATTATTATATCTTTATTTCCCATTATTCATGGATCATTTTACAACGTAATTACAGGTTAATAAAGTGTATAAAAAACTTTCAAACGAAGGTTGTTTATGTTTTGTTTTTAAAAATGGTAGTTATTTACATCATTTATACATTTATGTTGAGCAGAAAGCTCTAACACCTTACATTATTATCGCTTTAATCTGGAAACGCTGGAACCAATGAGATTCCGTTTACAAAAATCAATTTGTGTATTTGTGGCAAAATTTTACTTAATGCTGCTATTTTGTCGCTTGTGTCTTCATCAGCGTCGCGGGGGTCACATACTAAGTCGTGCATGGTCATACCTTTGCAGACAGCATCACAGCAGCATTGAAAGAGTAAATGATTTATTGTATCTTTAAATAAATTTCCGCATTTTTCACATAAATGATTGGTTTCTTTGTCTTCAGGAAGTGCTACTAGTTTCGCTAGTGTGTAACAGTATTCTAATAGATGCGGATGTTTTTGACCAGTAGTCCATATGATATTGTTAGATAATTCGACTTTGGTCAACCTTAGAGTGCTGATGCTAGCTTCAACTTGTATTTGAACGTTATTTTTACAAATCAATTTCCATAGTTTTGTTGGGGGAAAGTACCCGTCATCTAAAAATCTTTCTAAGTATTCATTTAGACTGTACTTCTGAAGTATGTTTTGGATGTCTGGTATAAAACCTTTTTGTTTATGGGAAGCATTTTCTGTTCTGCATAGATGTGCACGAAATAAGAATATGTTCTTTGTAACAGTGTTGCCCATGTTGCAGATTCGCCCAAGTAAAGATAATTTTTTTAATTCAATAATTTGAAGAATGTCTTTACAGTTTAAAAGTCCAAGTACAATATCAGTCTTCGTGCATCTGTATAGGCCTTGCAAGCGCTTGAGGATAAATCGGTAGGCCCGTTGTATTATTAGGCACTGGGAGGTTGTCAATTCATTCCACAGTTCACAACCATGTAAGGCGGAAGGGATGCAAATAGTGTTAATGAGCTTCAAGCCAGTTAGAGGATTTAGACCTTTCGGGTGAACGCCAACTCCAACGAGCGAAGCGAAAGTTGTTTTCAAGGATGAAGAACACAAACACAAACACTAAATTTTGAAATATCTGCATTACTTTTTCCACAATATAGTAGCGGCTTGAACCGTGATACTTGGCAGATTAATGTAACTTGGAATAAGCTTAAATTATATGTGGCACATCCTATGGAGACATTGGTGTATGTCTGCCCAGGGGGGTACCATACTTTCGGAACACCCTGTAATTACATATTAGTACAGCTTGTGGGAGTAGGAAGATGGAAAGATCTTGATTTGGTATGTGTCGAATGAACGTATGAAAACGCCTCTTTTGTAAGAATAGAATTTATAGTGTAAAGTCAAAGACAATATCAGGGTTCAGTCGACTGAATTTCAATTGAATTAATATTTGAATGGTTAGAATGGAATATGGAGGTTGGCTTTTATAGCCCTATGGCACAAGTGCAATAAACATTAAGATATTTGGTATAATGACATTTGGTATAATGCGAGTATTGAAGCTATGCATACCATGATTGCTTATTTCTAACATATCTTATTGAACATATTTTTATGGCGTGTATAAATAAATACCAACCGATTGTCCAATACATATATAAAATTACCTGTGGAGTGTCACCTTACCCTCAAAACGTTCACTTTTCTGGTCATGAAAATGCATGACAACAAGTTTGATTTCAGACCAATTGATCAACTCAAATTAATGTAAAGTAAAAAGTAGCTGATATTGCCATAGATAAAGTTATCCGGGTAATAATGGTTTTTATTTAATGTTAAAAGGTTGCCTGTGAAGAAAATTTGGAAAAGGCATGTTGGCTTCCATGAATTGACTCACAAAATGTGACTGTCTGAGATCCCTCGTAGACGTGAATTTTATTCCAAAAATGAGATATTGAATTTCGTATCAATAAACTTTGGATACTCATATTCTGAGTCATCACATATTTTTTTACTTTTAGATGTTATATTCACCATTCACAATATGACGTTGGAACTTTTAAATAGATTCACCTTTCTTTCTAGGTCATCGGAGATCCTGAAATGAATTTCCAGGATCACAAGGGATGCTGTGGAATGTCCAATAAAAAAGAATCCATCGTGTTTGTGGTGTGTATGCTGATAGGCATGCTCGTAGGCATCGGAATGGGAATAGGACTCAGGTACACTGAACGAAATGTTGAGATAAGGGTGTAGCCAGCCATGAGGCAGCAGAGGCAATTGCCTCGCCACTATTTTACAGTCTATAAATAATAATTCAGACATTCTTTCAATTTATATTGTGAAGAGGAAGTCTATTGATAGAAATATATTGATTCCACTCATTTTTGCCTCATTTATCTAGCTTTGCCCCAACTATTTAATTTTGCCTACCTATTTGACTCTGCCTCGCCTATTCAAATTTGCCTCACCTAATTAGCTTTGCCCCATCTATTTAATTTTGCCCATCTATTTAACTTTGCCCCATCTATTTAATTTTGACAACCTGTTTAAATTTTCCCCACCTATTAAACTTTGCCTCACTTATTTAACTTTGTTTAGTCTATTCTAACTTGCGTCACCCATTCAAATTTGCCTCACCTATTTTACTTTACCTCGCCTATTTAAATTTGCCCCAGCTATTTAATTGTGCCCCATCTATTTAACTTTACCCCATCTATTTAATTTTGACAACCTGTTCAACTTTCCCCCACCTATTCAAATTTGCCTCACCTATTTAACTTTGTCTGGTCTATTCTAATTTGCGTCACCTATTCAAATTTGCCTCGCCTATTTAACTTTGTCTGGTCTATTCTAACTTGCGTCACCCATTCAAATTTGCCTCACCTATTTTACTTTACCTCGCCTATTTAAATTTGCCCCATCTATTTAATTGTGCCCCATCTATTTAACTTTACCCCATCTATTTAATTTTGACAACCTGTTCAACTTTCCCCCACCTATTAAACTTTGCCTCACCTATTTAACTCTGCCTCGCCTATTTAAACTTGCCTCGCCTATTTAACTTTACCCCATCTATTTAATTTGCCTCGCCGATTTTACTTTGCCTCGCCTATTAGATTTTGTCAAATCCATTAAACTTTACCCCACCTATTTAACTTTGCACCACCTATTTAACTTTTCCCCTCCTATTTAACTTTGCCCCATCTATTATCAGACAACATATGCCATATACCAGACAAGTAGCCAACCAATGTTTCTGATATTCCAGATACGCGAATTTGACGGATAAACAAATCCACTACTTCCAGTTTCCCGGGGAAATGTTCCTTAGAATGCTGAAGATGATGATCCTTCCTCTGATCATGTCAAGTCTTATTTTTGGTACGTTCATATTTAAGGCTGTGGGATATAATATCTGTAATTTCAATGTATATGATGATTCTATGTCAATGTTAATGTTTTTTTTAAGTTAAGTATTTAAGGATGTCTGTTCTTGTCGTCTTCTTTCGATTGTGCAGGAGTGTGATGAGAGATTACCTTTAACCTAATATGGTCATTTCAATTCCTTAATTGCATATTTGGCCTCATTTTGCATCTTCCTTTCAAGTAAGTCTGCATTTACATCCAGGTATGGCTAACCTGAAGGCCGCCGGTTGGATAGGGGCAAGGACCATTTTGTATTACATGTCGACGACTATCATAGCAGTAGTCATTGGTATCATTCTGGTAGTGATCATTCAGCCAGGTTACAAGGGCTCCGAAAAATTGGCCAAAGCGAACAGGGGAGAGCCCGTTGAACCAATAGATTCTTTGTTGGATCTCATCAGGTATGACAATAAAGGTCAAAGGTCAAGTTTTCAAGTCGATTTTACTCAACATGGTGAACCATGTGCTATCATGCCACAAAACTCATTTTTCGGAAATTCAATGCAGAGAGTGCCTAAAATAATCTGAATATGTCTTCTGTGGCAACATTTGTTACATTTATGCCTACTTTATGTCGTGTGACTGAAATTCCCAAGTCCAGATCGGTTCAAATTTTAATATACACTTTTTAGTTCATATGTTTCTATAGATGTCACCCCTTACGTTATGTCTCAGTAAAAATGCCTCTATCTTTTCTAGGAATTGCTTCCCTGACAATATCCTTGAATCAACGTTCAGGTCGGTAAGTAGACGTAGCATTTGAGTCATAATCTTGGGAATCAACAATTAAAACGGCAATGTAATAGGGATTTAGCGGAACTGATATTTTTCAATAATGAACAATGGACAATCCTATTTTCATAAATATGGATAAACTATCAGTTTCATCCAAGATTCGCTCTACTCGACTAACCCACCCAAGTAATATCAGGCCTGCAATATTTAATGTATGCTTCTCTTTGATTTTCAAGATTTTTTAAATTTTAGACACAGTCAGTTTATCCTCCTGAAATTTACAATGTGGCTCCACCTCAATCTATGAACGAGACTTTTATGAACACCACCATGGCGCCCAATACTACAACACCAAGTAAGTGCTCTCTTAACACATCGTCGCTTTCAACCGAGTCCTGAAACTGTGTGAATCAAGATTTCGTTAAGCATAAAGATGTGAAATTCAGTTCAAGATTCGTTATAAACAAGGCAGTCTGAAGTGATGGACTTTAAACAGTGTTTTCCGCTTGTAATCTAATGGGTGTTTCATATGTACGAACGTAATGATGTTCCATTGTTCACAGGGTGTTTCATATTATATACGCGCGCAACATCCTCTCTCTTTGACATACTTTTTATTCATTCTGTGTCATTAATTCTTCTTTTTGGAAACAGCTTGGAACTCAAGAGTTTTCCTTCATTATTTTGATTATTTTCAAACTCACAATCTATGCATGCTGAACGCCCATTTGCAAATAAATACTGCATATTACAATAGCTTTAACCACGAGCTTTCAAGAAAAACCCATGCTTTAACATTCATTTTTATGTCACCATCAAAAAGTGGTGACATATTGGGGTGGTCTCCGTTTTTTTTTGTTGCGGCGGTTGGCGATCGGCGGTGCGGCGTCTGTTACAAATTCTTAAAACTTCCAATAACTTAACAAATACTGTTTAGACTGACTTCAGGTTTTTTTTCAAAATCATCTACAAGTTTTCAGAAGTTCAAATCTGACTTAAGTTTTTAGATTTGACCTTCATTGACCTTCTAAAGGTAAAAAAAAGTCAAAAAGGTATTTTTCAAACTACTTCAAATTGACCAATTTTTTTTAAAATCATCTACAAATTATCAGAATTTCAAATCTGACATTAGATTTTAGATTTGGCGTCTGTAACAAATTCTTAAAACTTCCAATAACTTAACAAATACTGTTTAAGACTGATTTCAGTATTTTTCAAAGTCATCTACACGTTTTTGGAAGTTCAAATCTGACGTTAGATTTTAGATTTGACCTTCATTGACCTTCTCAAGGTCAAAAAAGGTCAAAAGGGTCTTCTTTCAACTTGCTTCAAATTGACCATGTTTTCCAAAATCACCTTCAAGTTATCAGAAGTTCAAATCTGACTATAGATTTGACCTTCAATGACTCAAAAAAGATTTGACCTTCAATGACTTTCTCAAGGTCAAAAAGGTCTTTTTTCAACTTGCTTCAAATTGACCAATTTATTTTCAATGTCATCTACAAATTCATCTACAAGTTCTCAGAAGTTCAAATCTGACTTTAGATTTGAGATTTCACCTTCAATGACCTTCTCAGGTTCAAAAAAGGCATTTCTTCAACTTGCTTCAAATTGACCAATTTCTTTTCAAAATCTTCTACAAGTCCTGAGAAATTTAAATCTGACTTAAGATCGAACTAATAATATAGTGAGCAACTAGGTGGTGACATTTTGTCATGTTAATGCCTTGTTTCTGCTTACTACCTAATTTTTCAGGACCCAGTTACCAATTACCAGATTTCTCAAAATCGGTACCCAAAGTGAAGAAGTCCGAGAGAATGAACGTGTTGGGTATCATCGTATTTTGTATTATATTTGGATTGTGCTTGGGAAGACTACCGGATAACGAGGGCATGCCGTTAATCCGAGTGTTTAGATCGTTCAACTACGCCATCATGAAAATGGTCATGGGAATTATGTGGTAAGTTGATGTATTAGATAGTCTCTGTGAAGAGAGTGAACGAATGGATCGTGGCTACTTATCAAATGACAGTCACCCATCGTTTTTTCAGGTTCAAATCACTGTCTTTTCCTTCACGTGTTTCGTCTCAGATGTAGTTATGTGACCGTTCTCATTTTCAAGCTGATAGATCCATCAACAGATTAATTAATAAATATCTCCCGTAATGCAGGACAAATCTATTACCAAATTCTCCCAATTGCACGAGAGTAATCCTCAAGGTACATACAATATTGTCATCTAGATCACAGTTAAACTACTAGATTTCTAGACGATATAACGTCCAACTGGTACGTACAATCCATATACACGTTGTGACTGTCTGTACACGTTGTACGTGTGTTCCGGAATGTTTGGCTCAGTGTTCGGATGTGAGAAATATTAATGTAATACAAGTCCAATTCAAAGCCAGATAAAAAAATTGTTTTTCATTTTATAATAATTGATCTGAAAATATCCCGTTGTACTTTGAAAAATAGAACATTTCATCGATGTTTATAGGTGTGCGCCGATTGGAATAATGTTTATAATCGCCCATAAAATTGTGAGCATGAAAAACCCGATTCAGACACTCACCCAACTTGGTAAGTATTAATCATTTAATATATCATATAATTGCATCAATATACAGACGAATAACTGTATGAGAATATTGGAATGTCATGGAATTTCCGAATCCCTACATTTTCTTACGATCTAAAAAGTATTGCAAAAAAATTGTACCACAAAGAGCAATATTAATGGTATTTCACAACTCAAACTCCAAATGGAATGAGAAATGAAAACATTAAACGCTTCATAAGTTATACGTTATACGGGAATGATAACACGCTATAAGTGAGTTGCGAAATCTTAAATGTTCGTATATGCTTTAGGTTACTACATGATGACTGTCATGGTTGGTCTTTTCGCACATGGCTTCATTGTTCTGCCGATAATACTCTTGATTTTCGCAAGATATAATCCACTTAAATTCGTCCTAAAGATGTCTCCTGCTCTGATGAATGCATTTAGCACAGCGTCAAGGTAACTGAGATCTATCAATTAATTCCTACATTTATTTATAATCTCACAGTTTTTGAAAGAAGTTAATGTTAAAAGACATATATTTACATAATTGAATCACACCACCTAATCGGTTTCTTCAAATGGTTAGAGAGTGTGAAGTTAGGACGAAATTTGTATACATATTTAGCGGATATCAAATTCGACACTTCGTTATCTATTCTGTAGGCTGGTTTTAAATCGTGTTCATTGGCAGCAATTTTGTACGTTTTGCCATAAACCTTCACTCCGGGAAGATTGCTCATAGGATTTTCTTCAAATATAACTTCACATTAAAGTATAAAATATGTTTTACTTGTTTTCAGTTCAGCGACACTACCGTTGACAATGAGATGCTTGGAAAATAACTGTAAAGTTGACAAGAGAATCACCGGTTTTGTCCTGCCAGTAGGTGCCACTATAAATATGGACGGTACCGCCCTCTATGAAGCTGTTGCCGCCATCTTTATTGCGCAGGTTAACAACATCCCACTCGACCCTGGACAATACGTGACCATCAGGTGAACTCTATTTCTAATTTCACTAAATTGATCTAATAATCAATTAGATACTGTTCTCTGCACAGTATGATAACACTTCAAGATAACACTTCTATTTAAGATTTCATTATTGCAACGACTTCATGTTTGTGTTCTTTGGTTTCAGCTTGACAGCCACAGCGGCATCTATTGGTGCAGCGGGGATACCGGAAGCTGGTCTTATCACCATGGCAATTGTTCTCCAAGCAGTTGGACTCCCCGTGGACGACATTGGACTCATCTTTGCCATAGATTGGTTCTTGTAAGTCATTCTAACTAGTTTTGAAATTACAGTTGTTATCGTCCCTATTCCTGCCACATTTGCTAACTATTAGGTGTAAGAATAACAAGACCTGAATTGAGAGTAGCTTTAAAAATGTTCATAATTTTACAACTTTGTTCACAATATTATCTTATTATCGTGTATGATATGTTTTTCGAAGTTTAAACCGCTCTGATATGTATCATGATAATGATTTTGCAAAATGATAATCGTTTTTTTCTGGCAATTTTTTTGAAAAAGCAGACGTCCGGCCTTTCAATCTAAATGACTTTCTTCCCTAGCATCCATATTTGACCAGGTATCTTAATGCACAATTAGACAATAAAATAACAAGAGAAATGTTGACATGCCTTTTGAAAAGATTCATCCCACGGAAGAACTGTATCATTTGTGATATACAGGGTGGGCAAAAATTTGTTTCCAGGGACCGTTGTCGCACCACCATCAACGTGTGGGGTGATAGTGTTGGAGCAATGATTGTTGCGCAGAGGTCACGGAAAGAGCTGATGAAACACGATGAAATGATGAATGATGCCTATAGACCTCCCCGGTCTAATGGAGACGCCATCATCAACGCTGCATATGAGCCAGATGCTGCAGCGCCACATACCCGACTTTAGTAGATGAAATTGAATCCTGAACATCTTGGAACATATTCTAAAGACTTTTTTTTATCTCCATTTTTACTTGTTAGTTTTACTTTTATAGAGACTATATTTCTATTTTGGTAAGCAAAAGTGAGTAAGAAATTATAACATTTAAAACCATGAATGCTTTAAGCTAATTGCTTTGGATGTATTTTTATGATAACATTTTTAGCTGCACTATTCGAACGGACCTACGCGTATCTCGTAATCAGTAACATTGACGCCCATTTGATATATTATGAAGGGCTTGTAATTGATATTATCAAGCAACAAACATGGGATCGGGGGTTCAGATATGTAGTCTATATTTTTATTGTAATATGCACAGGCAAAAAGGCCAACACGGTAGGTTGAATATGGCCATATAAATAATAACTAGACATATTTTTACCAAGATTTTATGTAAATATTTATTTTTATAAACGTATAATCCAAAGCTTTTTGTAAGCTTAGATCTAGGATATATATGTGTTTTACAATAATTATGACAAATTGTGTCCATGCCATCTCATACATGTATCGGGTGTGCCAGAAAAAAATGAACCGCTTTTTAACAAGTATTTTGTCAGCAAGAGATGAACCGGATTTATTGAAAAATAATTCTGAATATCTGTATCATCAACAAGTTTGCAAAATATATAATCGATCAGTCGAAAATTATGCGAGTATTGTAATTCAAAACAGCGTGCCAAAAACAGTGTCAATGGACCAATCACTGATTTCGGCCTGTGCTCAATTTAAATCTTGAAATGAGAAGGTTACTTCGAGCCCGGTGTAACATGAGAATAAGTCCCATTGGAAAATAAGTCCGTCAGGAAATACGTCCGTTGTAATTTTTCAGATATATTATAACTTTGAATATGAGTAGCCCGGTGTAACAGAATATGATTAATCATTATTCTATTACTGGGAACATATTGTCGAAAAAGCGGTTTACTTTTTCTGGGACACCCGGTATCTTGTCATGAGAAGGTTACTTCTGGGCACAAGCCCCAGAGAACATATATAGATGAAGTAAATGTCTCCCTACTGGCTTGTAGGACGACTGTGTATTATGCTTACAATCCAGACATTCCACTATTTGAAATACTCTAATGAAATAACTATTATTTCAAGTATTGCAAGTATACGTCTGCGTTTGTCATGTAATATTGAATTTTTGAAATTGATGGCGTATTATATCTGTTACTTTTCGGTAAAATATAAAAAAAAATATTCCAGTAAAGGTATACAATTTCTTTGTCTTCCTCTCAATACTTCTACAATTATATACACAGGATTTTCTTGTACTGTATATTCTGTATACATGTGCTTTTATATTCAATGATATTCTATACAAACATAATTTGTATCATAACGCTTAATAATAAATTCTCATTTCAAAGACATGTCACAAGTTTCGTTAATTCGAAGGCTCAACTAACAGTTTGTGCCATACCTATACGAGACCATTTATCCTCCTAGAACACTATTGCTGGACTGGAGTTTGTTATTTCGCATGCTTACCTAGAAAATCGGGCTATCGTCCTCGTTTATGAGTTTCATAAAAGAAAGCTGCATCTTTAGAAGAAACGCATACATTACCTTAGCCGCAACTGACTTAGTGTTTTGCTTTAGCAGGTAATTCAAACGCCCCGAAAATGACAAATTATTGGATTTTTTCAATTCCTTTTATGCGAGTAGATAAAATATCGACAGGAGGGCAGATATGAATATTTTACCTATTGACAAAATAAAACTATTTTGCCTGTATTTTTCTCGCATTAAACATCCAATTGTCGCAAAGATAATACATATAAAATACGCTTTCCTATTATATATTTGTATTGTGTAACATTGATCTGCACATTCAATATGATATGATACATAAGTAGAATATATAAAATAGCGTCATCTGTATATTATAATTAAACTGTAGACGTTGTCATGTGCATAGATATATAGCTTATCAACAGATTTTACATTCAATTATTTATTTAGTTCAATCAACGTCTCTATGGATAATTACTAAAAGTTAATGCAGTTAAGCATGTGTCCTGCTCATCCAATGCAACAAAGATCTCGAGAGGGGGTAAATATTAAAACTTGATGCACATGTAATCATAGGTGTATTTTACAGGTGCAGCGGGCGAACAGGGAAAGATGTTGGTTGTAGGAAAAGAATTTGCGCTCTTTCTTGAAATTTGAGAGGCCACTTTTTGAAATGCAGGTCCATTAATTTTCGTTCAGGTCGATTTTTAGATGATGCATCGTCACTATTAATATGCGTCCTTTTAGAAAATAAGACTCACCTTTTTAAATGTGTGATAAGTCTGCATAAAGACAAATGGCACCGAGTAATGCCACTTGTAAAATACAATCCAAGAAACATTATTGTTTCACATTCTACATCTTGTTAACAGTCATTGCCGGAGAAGCAAATAACTCGTAACGGTATACAGGGTGACACAATAATTGAATGAGATAAACACAAAATAATTCTGTGAGTGATGAAGGAATATTCTTGACATTTAGTCATCTAACAGACAATGTAATTATCATAATCATCTGACTGAGGAAGTTTCGTTTTTGCTTTTGTTTTTCTCAACAAATATAAGTAAATCTTAGGAAAAGTGACATTACTAATTGTACTGCAATTGAGGATATTAAATCCAAGTCTGCATGGAGAGAAACAAGTGGCCTATTGTTATCTGGTTCCTGTTTTCCTTCCTTATCACGTTTAAACGTATTATTACCAGAGCTAAAGTCCCTATTTCCAATTGATGCGGAGAAGATAATTGCGAACATCTTCATTGTTCTTTGGATGATAAATATGGGCTAATTTAGGAAACGTATACAAAATCGAATTGATAGATTCATATGTCATCGAAATAAATACAATTTGCCTTTGGCAGTTTTAGAGAAAAGTATTAATGAGTTTCCTTCAATAGGCATATATTCGTAAGAAAATAACACTTGAATATGACGTAGCTTTATATATGAAATAAGGATATCAAAATGTCAGTAAAAGAATGTAAGTGAAGATATTGATACATTCATTTTATACGTCGGTAATGTGATTGAAGTTTCTCCATATTACCAGGTTTAAGAGAGGGTGGGGGAATAATTCATAATTCAAACATGAACCTACATTATGTAGAGATGACCGTCCATTAGTTGTCCTACCTTTTAGGGCGTTAGCAGTAGCAGCCCCTAAGAGCCCAAGGCGAAGGACAGAACTATAAATACTATCATCAGTAAAAAGGGTATAATATAGTTTGCTAAGTAGATATAGTTCCTTGTCTGGGTTTGATTAAATTGGATTCATGACAAACGTATATTCTACTAGTGTTGCATAAGAACGTGGGTCGATCATTGTGAAGATAAAGTAGACGAACAAAATCCTTAAATGCAAACACCGAGGTGATGGATCGGCTTCCATCTGATTTGCTTGTGTGACCTTTGATCAGACTCCAGATGAAATATACAAACTTCATCACAAAGGCCATGATGAATGGACTAAGTGAACGAGTGGCAATCAAGTTACTCGTCTTGCAAATTACTTCAGTTTTCTGTGCTTTCCACCGGTAAGTAAATTTCCATATAACGGGAGATATATAACTCTTGGATATATAAGGTAATCTGTTATTTCTTCCTGTGCATGGTAACATCTAAATGTCGACAATCAGACGCAATCTTTCCATTACGACATTAAGTGATTCATTAAGCACTTCAAACTCCAACCATCAATCACAATCAAACGTCCGTATCTCGTTCAGTGATTGCTCTCGATTAAAAATATATGCATATTCTTGGAACTATATAATTTCCACCTGTCGCAATTTCAAGTGAGCATGATTTAGTATCACGAACGTTCGTGAATATCTTGCATTTATACTGCACAATTTTTACTTGAATTTAACATTCAGGTATCGTCGTCCTTCAAGTCAATGAGGTCGAGTTTGTAGTATTTTGGAATCTATGCGGCGTTGGGGTCGTGGACGGAAAGTCGACCTCATCCTTTGGTTGCTCTGAAAGTAAAAGAAAAAATACATCACATAATGAGGTTACCACAACTTACAAGGTTTTTCTCACATGGCCTCGTGAGGTCATTTACCATATAATAGTGAATTATTCCATATTTGAGTTGGCATAATCCATTGAAATCACATACTACAGAGGCAAATTACATCGGACCCCGAACAAGGCCGTATGAGGATCGTTGAGTCCTGAACATTCTCATACGTGTTGTTCAGAAAGGTTCAGGTAGGTCATATCTCGGATTAGAACTATACAACGATAATGAAGTCAATCGGAGATATTTAGCTAGCAATCAGTAACTCATCGACATACTTTTTCAATATTATATGCATTACTATTCTTTATCTTGATGAATCGATTAGTTCTTGAAAGGAAAATAAAGTTCTCCATGTTATTTCCAAATTGAAAAAACTCATGCCATCCATTGGTTTCAGCTCATTTTGGTCATCCAAATTCGGTATCTTTAATTGGAAAATAGAACATGGCTCAAACATTCTAATTATGCATTCAACATTATAATAGAAGGTTGAATTTTGAGTTAAAATTGGGTCAACACTTCAAAGGATGTTGATTGATCGATTGCCTCTTGTAATATCACTTTTGGCTATTGGTGACTCCATGATATTTTCGGTATCATGAGGTATCAAACTAGTTCTCACTACGTTCTCGAAAACGGGCTTAAACTGTGCACGAACGGATTTGACGTACTAAGAACCCACGAAGAACCGTTTGGGATCTGCTTACAAACTTCATGAAACTACTAGAACGAGTTGGTCCTCCAGAACTTAGAGCATGCTCAAAATTTTCTGGTGATCGTCAAAACCTTGCCGAATCGGTTTTAAACTGTGTGCGAACTGAATGAACGTAGCTACAACGTTCTACTGTCTGTTTACGAACTTCATGGCCTTTCCCGGACGGGGAATGTGATTCAGAATTTTGAATCGATTCAAAATTTGATGGCGACCATACCGTTCTGTAGGTATGATGACCTTCAAGACTAAGGGACGCATTATACGACGTTGCACACCGACGTGGTGCGACCTGAACGAACTGCGAATGAGATGGACGTATTGAAGACTGTTTATAAATGAACGAAGTAGCTAATTATTTTAGACATACTTCCCGACCACAGCCAGATTGATCCCGTTTTACGACGTTTTCGTAGGACTGGCAAGAACGGGTAAGAACTAGTTTGGTGTGATAGGGGGGTAACAGTCGAAAACAAGATTTTGCTTTATGTTTTGAGCTTATAATATCGCATTGTTTAATCAACACGTCTAGGCCTTTAATTAAAAAAAGGATTGGAGCTAAGTTTTATTGTTTGTAAGTCATTTTATAGCTCTAAAATAATCACGAACCCTATTTTTATGCATTGTAGTTCTATATATGAAGTTAGATTGTTTATACATTTTATATTTGCTTCAAACACGTTTTGCTAAGAAACCCAGTTGAAATTTTGCCAAGACTCATGATATGGAATGAATTGCCATTATTTCCTCTTCTGATGCCTATAATTGCATTGTGTGCCACTTAAATG